GGGAGTATTGGCTATGGATGACTTAATCTGTTTGATACAGCACTTTGGTGGAACTAATGTGAAGTGCGTGGCTTTGTGGGCTTGCGGAAGATCTACTGTTTATTAGCCTCAATCAGTGGGTTTAAGTGTTTAAACTGCGTTCACCAAGCTTCGGAATGTCCCTAGAACACGCCGGTGGTAGAAATGCTATAGCCATACTCTATGTTTATTCTCCTCGCCTCTTCAACAGGCAAGTACCAGCAAGTCTTTCCTTTGACACTGACAAATTTGAGAAAGAGAACAAGGTGGATACCGTCGATAGAATCAAGTCTCATGTACACATCCACGTCTCTAAAGAATCATCTGTCATTTATTAACACTTTCGATTGATAACTACATACCCTGGAGACCTGGTTTCTAGTGATTCTTGAAAACCGCTTAAGGTGATAATAGCTGGTGATTGGGAAACAGTAGCTCGAACGACTGAGCTGATAAAGCTCCCAAATCAAATTAAATCGGTAACTAGTTCAAACAGCATCCGTACCAGTGCTCAGTTATAACACCTGAACGTAGGAAATTATCTAGGGAAGAGATTTTGTTTTGTACCAGGCACAGAAGTGTTGGGAACGAGGCAAGGCAAGACTAAATCGACCGTAGTCTCATTCGGATTGTGATTGTGATAGCCCAGATATTGCCCATCTCGGTACAGGTACCTATTCTTGCTTGTGGTCTTGCGGTCTCGCAGAGCTGCTGTGATATATATGTGCAGAAAAGGTCACCAAATGAGGTAAGTTGCCATGGTTAGGTTTGTCTGAAACTACTTTTTCGTTGGGCAAAAAATCAATTTTGTATACGCCTGTGGTAGGTCTCGAGATCAAAATGAAAGTCCTTCTAGTCTTGCCCTCGCAGGTATTACCTCATCTCGAGGTCAAGTCTCAAGAAAAAGTTGTTCTCGTCTTGTGCCCATCATTAGTTTGGATCTAACGAAGGTGTAAGAACAATCTCAAGTGGGTACTTTAGATAAAGGTCAAATATGATTTTATGCTTTTATACCGATTTCAAATATGGATGTGCATGAAGCCCAAGTGACGATCCATGATTCTAGTAAACTAGGAGAGCTAGAGCGGGTTTACAATTGTCCTCAAGTGGAAGTTATAGTCGGTGCATTTTGAATTCCGCGATGACTCGGTCTGTTCTGTTTATAACCCTACTGAGAACCTATTCGTGTACTAATTAAGGAGGGCAAGGCATCACCGGTAGGAATGATATCACTTGTAAACCGGTGGAGTGGTTAGAGTTAACTCCCAGAGATACTATATTAGAATACTTTTGTGGCAGACAACAGAAGTTCTATGAGCGTCTCTTTTCTCCTCTTCACAGGGTACTGCATACCATTATCACTTCTGGCTAGAACAAAAGAGGGCACTCCTTGTTCTCCGGCTAATGAGGCTCTTTCCCTCACCCGGTAGGTCAATGATCGGTCCTACCAGATATCCCCCCGCCAAGCAAAAGAGCAAATTCCTGCGTTAGCACACAAGGGCTCCGGAGCTGTTCTACTCCATTAACATGCCCCACCCACCCAGGACACAATACTGAACGGTATCGCGCCATTCAGCACGTGTAAGGTTCTACTACTCATCATGGACACTTATCTAGCCCAGAATTGCTGCACGGGATCAGACACATATCTCCGGCCTGTGGGTGATTGCTTCTCCACCCCCGAGGCCCGAGGCCCGAGCCCGCCCACTCATCGTCACAGTAGAGTACCGGCGGTGGTGATGGACAGACACGAGCTAATGTACCTACTGGAGGAGCAGGATGATCTAGATAAGGTGATTACCAAGACAAGTTATGCAATTCAAGACCGGGTCTCATCAAGCAGTGCTGCTGCAGTATGATATGCCGGAAGCGTCAATTCCTGCCTCCGTTTCTGATGATGAGATCTGGTACCAAGATGACAAGTCCGACTTCCGGGCGCTGCGTATGAGTTTTTCCACCGCAAGTCCTCGTAAGATACATGTAGCTAAGATGAGACGTGTCTAGCTAGCCAGCCGAGTTTCGCATTAGATGACGAGCTTGGTTCGGGGAGTCTCAAGACACAAGAGAAGGACAGATCTTTTGTGAATAGACTGCAGGATCATGAATCATGGACCAGAGTTTTCGTCCTGATCTCTAGCTAGCTAGAGTAGGTAAATACATAGAGGTACATAGAGGTACATGTACATACTTTACATACGACCCAAGCCTCTCCCACTAGCGACAAGGCAGAAAGAAAAAAACGCGGTACCGAAAAGCAGCCAGTCTGTTTCAGCGCCTCCCACAAAAGCAAATTCATAAGAAGGTGTGTGACCGGCCGGACCGGAGACAAGCCTTCCCACCGCCGACAACAAAACAACTATATAGCACCTGCCGTGAGACAGCAAGTAGGTACCGGTACCTGAAGGAGTATCCTGGTCCGGGCACGACGAGCGAGACATAGCTACATAGGCACTTAGGTAGCACAGATACCCCCAACCCTTGTAGACTCGAGTACGGTAGAGGCCTGCGACATGAGCGCTCACTCGCACATCGCATCGCACCGCATCCGACGCGTGTGTCCGGCCAACCGACCAACCGCAGCCGCAGCGGTGTTTTTTTTCCTCACTCTTCACCGACCGACCGGGCGAACAGAAGAAAAAAGAGCACCTCACTCAGTGCCCGCCCACCAGCTTGGAATTACATAACAAGATTTTGTTCCTGCACTTTTCGTCCAATCCAATCCGATCCGAGCACACACACACTCACACACCCACACACTGACAACCCAGTTTCCAAAAACTGAAAAACCGAAAAAGCAAAGCGAGAGAAGAACTTTGGGAAAATAGGGATGCGGAATCGGGTTTCAGTTTTTCTTACTTTCAGCTGGCAAAGGAGCGCTGATCCGGGTTTCTCGGTCTCCCATTCTGTTGGTTCGTCTCCAACCAGCCCGCCAGCCAGCCAGCAGCAGTAGGCAAGGATCCATTCATGCAGTGGGTTGATGATCGGTGCATATGCACGAGTCATGCAGAGAGAGAGAGAGAAGATGGAAGTGTGTGCGGGCTAGCTGGCTAACTAGGTGGATGGGATGGATGGAAATGCCCACAGAAGCAATTTGGCAGGTTTCCACGCGCGGTATCCCATCGCCAGGTATCGGATGGAACGCGCAACACACGTGCGGGGCTGAACATGAGCAGTAGCAGGAAGGGGGGAGCCAATGACCGCGCAGGCCGCTTTGGGCAACGTATTCCCCGTGCCCGGGGCGACGGCGTGCGGCTATTGGCGGGGGAGGGGTTATAAATAACCTCGCAGCTACAAGTCTCCGAATGGTATGGTACAAACTCTACATTGGGCTACTCTCACTCTTGGAAAAGCTTGCGTCGTCTCTTTTCTTTACTTCTTTTCTCGCTTGAGAGCAGAAGTGGGAGGGGCAGTTCGAGCTGTCTACTTACATACGGTCCAAACAGCACTTTCTACCAGAGTCTGTACCGATTCAGTACAAATACCTGATTATGCGGGTTGCGGGGTGGAGTGCGTGCGTAGAGTACGTAGAGTATGTAGGCAGAGTGCTTATTGTAGGTACCTACTCTACCTACATAAGATTCTGGTAGAATTAATGCGAAAGTGGGTTTTCCGTGACCCGATAGTCCCATTGGCCCTCAAAGGAATTTTTGCAGTGAGCACGGGCCAAGAAACCCACCCTTTTAGTTCTGACTTTCGCAATAATTCTACCGGATACTGTACACACTCTGTGACCCAACTGACCCCACACACAAAAAAAAAACGTAAACGTAGAGTTTTGGAACCGATAAGCAGAGCAGGCGTTGATAGCTTTGTATCGGGCCTGCCGAACGAACGACTGATTGACCGACTGGCTGATTAATCCAGAACTGGCTGGTTCTTCACCGCTATCAGCCGGCGTTTGGTATGTGGTGGTGGTGGTGGTGGAAAAAGTAATTAAAGCAGTAGAGAAGAAAGAAGGATGCCTGGACGCTGGAATACAATGGAAGGAAAGAAAGGGAGAAAAACTATGTAGGTACATACTCTAGAATAAAGGAAGCTGAGAATCGCGAGTAGCAAAAAAAGGGGGGGGGGGGCTACGTACATAGGTGGGGGGATGCGTTTCAAGACGTCTACTCTACTCAATTGGGCGGATATCGAATAGGGCAACCTCACAGACTTGATTCATTTGGGTCGCCGCTATCTATATATCTATATATGTACTGTTACAGTTCTTTAGTTTCCCCAGAAGTTCACACTAAACTGAAGGCACTGCGCGTATCCAGCATATACATACATACCCGACATTGTCCATGCTGCTGTGCAGGCGCCCCCACATGTAGAATTTTTTAAAAGAAAGGCGATGTAATAGGTCGACTGTGTACGTGCGGTTAAGATAAAGCTCATATTGAGATGCTTACAGGGAACTTACAGGGATGCCGTTTGATTTGGCATTGCTGCAGAGCTCCAAGCTGATGCTTCCCAGGAGGTCAATGATATTTCTAATTATCTTGGGGTATGCAAATTAGCGACAAATCACGTCAACACTTATTTTTTTACATCTAGTGGTGGTAGATAAACATAAAAAAGGCCGGCTATCAAGAAGTTATAAACACTTTACGAAAAACACAAAGAAGAAAACGGCTGGCCGAGCCAAAGTCAGGAAATGGAAATGAAGGAGAGAAACTAAGGAAAGAAAAAGCAAACCCGGAATTATTCCGCCTAGAGACCATAATCAATGCACAAGGTAAGCTTGATTCTTTGCCTACGCATGTACAAAGTTTTGATAATCGATAACTATCTCAACTGCATCCAGAGAGGCAGTAGAGAGTTTGCCTCAACAAAAATAAACACAAACCCAGATTAAAACCTCGAGACGCCGATAAAAACGAGTCAAACAGTAAAGAAATAGTAAATGGGATGCAATGAAAGGACAATGGTAGAAAAAGATAGTCGATGGCTACAATGGCAGCGGCGGTAGTGGCGTTAGCACTAAAAACAGCACTCTATCGTGCAGTGCTTCTGCTAAAAAATCTCCTCTGAAAAGCCCCTTTCAAATTGGGTCTTGGGGCGTTACTCCTTTTTTTCCTCTGTATTTTCAAGGAGTTTAGTGGAGGTGGCGGCGGGATTGTGACATCATTAAGAGCAGTGCTCGAGATATCTTTTAAACACTCCCTTGACAGCCCAAATTCCGAATCTGTTGTTGGATTGTTGGCCATCGGTGCAAGAATTTTGGGGGCTGTCTCATAAGTAACACTCACATCCTCTTGCGTCATCGGGAGCCGCCGTTTATCATCCTTAGAAGAAGAGGCACTCTTACGCCAAGTATTTTTCCAATCATTGCTGTTTTTCCTTCCTGTGGCTGAAAACGAGAATGCCCTTTTCATTGGGACAATGTTCGGAACATTTTTTGGTGGTTGCTTAGATTTCACTGAGCTGCCTGCCATCCTTTTCCCAATAGCATTAAAATCATCACCATCCCCAGATTCACATGATTGGATTGACGAGGCCTCTGACTGACTCCCATAGCTCTGTAAACTGTGCATAGATTTCCTTGCAACTGTTGATACCAAGCTAACCACAGACAACCTTTTCATAAGGTTGCTTGTGTCCGCTCTTTTTCGAGTTCCGGGGCCCATCGATCCAAAGGATAGCATATCCTTTGTCCAAACATCTGCTAGCTTTGCCTCAATGCTATTCCTATCAGAGCGCTTGGGTGAAAAAATTGGCACTCGATTGATGCTCAAAACAGAAAGACTTCTATTGATGCTAGGGGCGTTTGACTGCGAACAAATGACTTCGGAGAGAGCATGAGTATTTTTGATGATAACATTGGCGACATCTGATTTTGGATCGCTTCCCGAACGATGAAGAGATTGGTGCCTGACCAAAGTTCCAGGGCGGCCAAAGACAGTTCCGATCGGCTTCACATCGGAATTCATTGAACCAAAAAGATCAAAGTTCGTTGAGCTGTACTCTTGGTAGTCTCTGCTTTCAGCTGTCGCTCTGTCCAATATCTGAGTTCTCCATACCTCCTCCTCTTTCGCTGAACAAGCACTGACTAATATTTCGTAAATTCGATGTCCTGCCTCGAATATGATTTTCCATGAGAAAAGCGCAGAATGACAAGTCAACCCTGTGATTTAATTATCAGAGATTGAGCTTCTAAAGACAACTAGAAAACCGACCTCGGCCCTGATTCACCTCCTCAATACGGGCGGTAGCCAAAGTTATAGCGAACTTCACGCTATACCTGTTATCTGCCTTTGAAACTGTCGCCAACAAAAGGTAGGACTTGTATAATAAACAAGCTAGATATTCCCCAGTTACGCCTGTTTGCCGTTGCCAAACGACATGTAGTACACCGCACAGGACAATGTGTCCCAAAAGACGTATAGAAAATCCGGACTGTGAAAGCATCGCAAGGCTAGTTAGGCATGATTTCACTCATAGAAAGCATGAAAATATCAGTTGTGTGATGGAGTAGAATTACCTTTTCCTGAAAGTCTATTCGATCCTGTAACAACCATGTCTTCTCTATCCTCTCTCGTGTTCTTGGTGCCTCGCGTTTTGCTGTGTTAATCTGGTATGCCGTCTCTTCCAGTCGATAACGAACCTTTTCAAGTAGTCTATTTGTTTGGGGGCAGTCCATTGCTGGCGTATATTTCACTATCTCCGCAAAAAACAGAGGATACTTGCATATCCTTTGTATGGGCTGCGAAAGGTGGGGAATCAGTAAGTATCCTCAAAATCCAGTATATTTTCTAGGGACAGAATCTCCATACCTTAACAAGCATATCATCTAATGTCAGAGCACGCTTCCCATACTCCCGTTGATTGTCTGGCGAGTTTATTGCTCCAGCCAGCATCTCGCATCCTTTCTCCCATGAATTCCATGATTGACCGCGAAATTGGCTTAGATCTTGGCACACGAGTTCGTATTTGGCCGAGTACTCTTCGTAGACAAAGAACCCTCTCATCTGTACCCTCCCCCCAAAAGAATATCAGGACCAGTTGCAATGTTACCACACAATTTACTGCTCACCATTTTATCGAACACTTCTGCCACTTTAGCGGCTGCCTCTGGGTTTGACAAAATGTGTGTCCTCTCCAATTCACCTACTTGCGGGCTGATATCAAGAAACTTCCCTTTATAATTCTGAATTTGGTGTGACGCAGCAGGGAGCATGCGAAAGATTTCCGACAACAAGCTCTCATGGAGATCAAGTATTTCGGCAACGTTGCGTTTGATGGCGTCCTTAACATCTGCGGATATGCAATCGCAATCATTGAGCACAGAGAAATAGAGCTTTCCACGCTCAGCAAATGAAACAGTCACCTATTTTAAAGATGCGGTCCGAAACTTACATTCATCAAAACCTTTAAATCTGCGATGTAATACTCTTCTGTATTTATCAATTCTTCAAGTGCGCATCTGCGATCCCTCATTCTTGTTACAGTGGCATCATCTAGTGTGCCGCCACTAGACTTTCTTCTGGTGGATCCACCTGCGATAGAAAGAGAGGCAAATGTATTTGATGCCGTCTTTACAGCAGTAACAAACCTCATTGATGAAGAGGGTGTTTTTGTATCCGCTTTTGAGGAAGGCATAGAAGAAACTGCATCGCCGTCAATGAGTGCAGAAGCGCCCTCGATTGACGAATATACGCTTTTTCGGCGGTTTGTTTCTTTTCGGCGGAACGATTTTATCCACTTTCGGAATTGCAGTATGTCCCTCTCCTTTCGATACGGTACGTCTAACTCGTTTTGTGAAATTTCAATGCCATTAGAGGAAGTAGTCGTCAACTCTTCAAACTCCTCAAAAAAATCAGCGGTTTCGGTAGATTCAGTAGTCCTTTTTAGTGCCAGATTCAATGAACTCCTATCTGCCTCCACCGTTTCCGTATATACCACAGGAATTGCCCAATCAGCGTCCGATGAATGTGAGCACGGACTTGTTGCAGAGCTAGCAGTGGATTCGTTGATTGACGATGGCTGGCATTCTGCAGCCCCAAGATCCATGGATAGAACAGACAGTTTATCTGCTGTTGAGTGGAAGCTCTGAATGGTGCTACTTTCCCTCGAAGATTCGGCATTTGTAGTTGCTGTTGTTGAGACGAAAGGCCGAATAAAATAGGGAGGTTTCCAGGATACAGAATCTTTGAAGTATAACGAATCACTGTCTGATTGTTGCGCTGGGATAGTCATAGCCATCTCTGCAAGAAATAATGAGAAAACGCAGAGATAAGAAGAACAACAACAACGACGACGACAACAACAACAACAACAACAACAACAGCAATAAGAAGAAGAAGAAGAAGAAAAAGAAGAAGAAGAAGAAGAAGAAGAAGAAGAAGAAGAAGAAGAAGAAGAAAAAGACGAAGACGAAGACGAAGAAGAAGTGTAACCAAAGAGCAAGACAATCAAAAACAAAATGAGTTTAGAAGCAAGGCATGGCAAGAAGAGGAATTTGGGAACGTATTCTATATTTACAGCTCTAACGCTACTTTGTGACCAACTGCGGAAAAACAAATAAGCCAGCTGCAGGCGACGGCCGCGTGGAACAAGAGTGATTATCAAATTTCAACAACCAAAAACGAGATCGAGTGGGAGAAAAGAGAGCAAGAGAGAAAAATACGTACCTTGGCAATAGAATAGAAAGACAGAGAAAGAGCGGAATAATAGAGAGAGTGTGTGAGGGACAGACAGAGCAAGAGAAGGGATAAACTGGAACAGCCCCAGCACTCGACGGATATCATATGCGGCCAACAACTGGGAAGCATACTCATGCAGCTCGTCTGGCTCGTAGTGGTGTCCATCATGACACGCTGCTGGTTCAGTTAAGCAGATATTTTTATTTTTATTTATTTCTATGATTGCTCCTCCCATCGGAGGTGAGCGGGTTGGAGCTTCCTAGGGGCTTTGCGGCATTCCGCTATCTCTCAAACGCAAGCATGCAAGAACGCACCGGTTACCATATCGGTTACTAGGGAGGTCTCAGTAAATCTTCGCCATTCAGGATTCACCCCGTGGTCCACTTCCTTACCACGATAACAATGCAGGATCACAGCCGGTCAACAATTGACCAGGTCTTGTATCAGAGCTCACGTTTTGATTTGCGCGAGTCAAGTGCAAGGTCGCTAAAGACGCATGCACGAAAAAACCAAAACCAGGCTGAAAGCTGAGCTGTCGCTGCGGAACATTGCAAAAAGCACGCAACGGATCTCAACATGCCATAATGTATATGGAGTAGATAACGAGCGTGCTGCCACGGGAGAAGTGGAATTGAATACTACGGGAATCGACATCTCCTCGTCAACCCTGGGTTGATGCAAGATCGTCGATCTCCCGGCGCAGCTCTTTTCGGGATATGACGTCGCCAAGGTGGTAAATTTGGGATGGCTTCGCCCTAATAGCGTAATTCCCAGCACGGAGACCCCGCTTCTCCACATCTGCTCTTTTAACTATCATCCTCACTTCCCCGGCTCATAGTTGCCTCACAAAAGGCTATAACCTAACCCTCTACTCACAGAAATGGATATTCACATGCCCTCTGTCGCCTCTTCCCCAAATCCTCACAACAATGCGCCTCAAAACGGTAACGGGAATGCAAAGGAGGATCTCCTAGCTTTGATGAAGGAGAAAGATAATGTGGAAGCTGAGCTTAAGGCTCTGGGAAGCGTTTTAGATTCAGTATGTTATCCGGATTCAAAGGCTTTTATCCACAATTATAATCATTCAAACATTCTTCCTTTTAGAAGTTTGGTCTCGGGTCACCTATAAAGTTGATTGAATTCCTCAGTGGAGCTGAGAATCGATGGAAAGCTAACCTGGAATGTTTTAAATCAGCACAAAGTAAATATGCAGACGCCGCTCTGTACCTTCGATGGATACCCACGTGACGACATCGACGTTGCCCAGATTCGCATCACTCGGTCACGAATAATACACCTCCGCAACGACTATAAGGGCCTCATGAACAAGATCGAAAAGGGTCTTCATGCCCATCATGCAACTATTGCAGCCTCACTTGCTGCTACACCATCATCCCCATCGGCCTCTTCCTCTACTACACAACTGATAGAAGCGCCCTTCGCAAGGGTCAACACGGTTGTACCAGGAAGTCCCGCCGCTGAAGCCGGCATGAGACCAGGGGACCTTATCAAACGGTTTGGTACTGTGAACGCTTTGAATCATTCAAGACTCTCAAGAGTAGCCGAGTTTGTTACCCAGAATGAAGGTGTAAGTACCTTGTCATTTATTTAGAATCCCTCTACTGTAAATGTCGCTAGCTACATTTTGCTAATTTAACCGAAACACCTAGAGATCTGTTAATGTTCTACTCTCCAGAAAGGATGATTCTGGTACAGAGGTCAATCTCCATGTCAGCCTGACACCAAGAAAAGATTGGGGGGGCAGGGGTCTTCTAGGCTGCCATCTTTTGCTCTTATAACCATCATAAGAGACCAGTCTTTGAATTGTATCGAGGGGTAGGTGTTTACATAACACTTATAAATTTGCGACATACCAGAATACTCTTATTTCTAAATGACGGTTTCTGGGACCTAAACTCATTTAGCTTGCTGGCTCTGCTAATATGTATAGGGATTATTATCTTAGATAATCGGAATGCCCTTCCAGGTTTACTAACCATTTATGGTGTTACTACACAGTGTGCTAAAAGTGATTTTCTGAATTAAACTTTTACGGTATTCTCTAGCCATTTGGGCATTAGATACCAGTCGACATTTCTACGCTTAACTTTAGGATGTAGTAGACAAAATTGGTATGGATAACCGTTTGCATGCAATTATTATTATTAGCTGGTAAAATTACCAACGCAAACGCCCGGTTTTTCTATTCTTGATTCAAACAACCCAATATCTCAATATACAAATTGATCGTATCTTTGTGAAAAAGAGTACAGCTCTCTACTAAACATAAAATTGCATGAAACACTGAGCATTGTTAATACGCTCCACTAGGATTAACTTGAAACAAGACATTCTACCAAACGAAGTAAACAAACAAAAAATGAGAATATATATATATACAAGAACAAAGAAAAGGCCATCCCACCCCCAAAATGAAAGGAAAAAAGGGAACGCAGGAACGCCAAGTTTACTTTTCCGTCCTATGCAGTGAGGAAATCCCTCCTCCGGGAAGTGTCAAATACTCCGAGAAACACCAGCAAATAGAGTGGAAGACCAACAAAAAAAAAGGAATGTTAATCAGGGAGGCAATAAGCACTGGACAACTCAGAGATTGGACTCGTATTTTATCGTAAAGTGTGCGTATCGGATAACGAGGAACCTCGAATCATCCAGTTCGTATTGTCTTCGCCGAGTAAGATCTGAGCCTCACGACCTACGCCAAGCCACCATAACCATTTAGGGTATTAACGGGTTTCGGTAGTCTAGCATAGGCTCAAAGCTCATCAGTATTGGTGGCTTCGTATATTCCAACGCCCTGTCTTTCTGCCTCCTTTTTTATCCAGTTATAAACTCCTGCTGACATCTCCTCTCTTGCTTTCTTCTTGCCGTAGAGATTTTTCAGAGGGCCAACCATGACGTCTTTGGGGCCATTGGGTCGTCTGATAATCGCCGCGACGTCATACATCCCCGGAGTGCGTGGGTCAGGCGTGAATTTATATTCAGGAGTGTTTACACCAAGACGAGGACAGACAACTTCATGAGCAATCGTTAGCCATCTTATAACTTCATGAAGACATGAACGGACCGAGGTAGAAGAGACATAAGGGACAGGATATAGGGTAATTACGATTTACAATCGCCGCCGGTTTAGATCCTTTGGGATATATTACGTCTCCGGTGGCTTTACTCAGCTTTCCGGACCTTTTGGTACCACCCGATATGGAGCCATTAGAGGATGGCGCTGGTGAATTCATTTCTAGCCAAATCCAAGCTGCTTTGGAGGCCGCAACTTTTGCAGAGCGCTTGTTTTTAAATGCAGCGTTCTTGTCACCGAATACCTCGTCTTCAAGACCGGGATAACCGGGTTCTGCAGGAAGCCTGATTTCGCATGAGAAGCCGGCACCGGGTGTAGCATAGTCTGTGAATTCTGGCCTTGTTTTCCTACTATTACACCAATCTGTAAACGATAAATGAGCCCCTTTCCAACTTCAAAATAAAATAAAAAGTATCGAGTGATTCTGGCTTATGTGCCGGGAATGGAGAAAGTAATCTGAAATCAGCAAGGTGTGGGTAAAGGAGACTTTCTCACCGCTTAATTTCCCAACCCAATTCGTATCATCTTTTTCGGGGCTTTCATTCATCATTGACTTTGAATTCTTCGGTAGGCTCCTCAGATATTCAAGCCCCAAACCCGCTACTGCCTCCTTCGCATGCTTCTTACTGGGATAAGCCCCTTCGGCCTGGAATTCTCTTATTCCCTCCGGTCCGACTAGCCTCAGAGTTGCGCTAAACCCAAGCGGCAATTCTGCTTTAAATTCGAAAGAAGGCGACATTCTTATTTGTGATTGGCAGAGCTCATGGAGATCCTTGACATGTGTTGTCGTTATTGAGGTAGAGATTACAACGGGTTCAGTAACTAGATGTTTCTCCTCTTTGATCTTCTTAGATTTAGGGGACTTTTGTGGAATTTCTTCCATGGGGTTGAGTTCGCAGTAAGTATCAGCTGGGATGAAATCTGTATCGCTATATTCTTCAGGTGGATGTTGTTCCTTTTTGATGCGTGGTGATGGGCTCCGTGGTGGTGGACATGACATCTTAGATGTATCTTCTTCCTCAACAGACATTGCAGATTCCTTTCCGGAGTGCAAAGTTGGCAGTGGCACAAAATCTGATGCGACAGTACCAGGAGTATTAGAGAATGTGGTCATAGCGACTACTGCAGCCGCGTGAGTGAGAGTGGTGATATGTGAGGGTGAGTATAAGATTGAGTAGGAGTGCAGATGGAAGTTGTGAGCGATAAAGCTGTGAATCAGCGGGCTATCTACTATTGTAGTTTTGTAGAGGTGCTGATGATTGATGATGATGATAATAATAATGCCAACGATGATCGCTGCGGAGATTCAGGCAGGCAGGCAATTCAGGCCACCAGCGGTTGCGGTTGGGGGTGCTAGTTATAAGTAAGACGACACATGGTGGGGAAAGACAGAGGAACGGTGCACAACGGACGCCTGAACCTTGCAGGGGTTGTGCTGATCAGCCACAGTGTTAGTCTTGGACTATCTCCCTAATCAGGTAAGCTGTATATGTAATCGACAAATGAGGCCCAAATATTCGTCCACGCGACCACTAGGCCCAAATTATAAGACGGCGCGCGATCTAGGAGTATCATCCGCTCCTCTATTTTCAGGACTTGTGGCGATTTGTGGCTCACCGAGCAAAATTTAGAGGCTAACTGAAACCATCGACTGGCGGTGCCAAAAGTCATCCCTAACTTTGGCACCAAGGACGGATGAAACTCTCAAATTCGCATCTTCCCTCTTTCAGCTAGTACTAGCCCTATCTAGTAACTCGTGCTGATTTTTGATTGGCTATATACTATGGATTACTATTACCGCACACAAAAAGCAAGGTTAGTACCTGACTAAGTGCGTGCACGGTCCAGGCTGCGAATTTGAGAGTTTCATCCGTCCAAGGGATAGGGGGTCAGCATTGCTAGACTAAGAGATACTCCTTATCGTTAAATTGTGTCTATCACGGCGCCATCATGTGTATTTCAGACCCAGAACGATTGAGATTAAGTAAATACTTACATTTTAGTAATTTTACTTCTATCGTGACTCACTTCCTGGTTCTTGCTCACCAAATAAATCATATGTATATTCACTATTTTTATTAGTTCACAGGAGGGTAGAAATTTCAATGGCGATACTTCACTGTTACAAGACCTTACATGTAGTTACGCCTGGGTAGACATTCCCGTTGTCTGTGGCGCTGTGGAGGTCTCATGAATTGCCCTGGCAGCATCGGCTGGCCATCACAATATTATAAGTACATGTATATGTATACATACATACATATATGCATTCAAGAGTGTAATAACTTAATACATGTAACACATAGAGTACATACCATGGATCATGTATATACATGTATGTATCAAGTGTAGAGTCGATCCACGTGCACGGTTTAGGTACTTGCATCAGTACCTGTCGACGTCTACTACATGTATATATATGATAACTTACAAATAGATATATAGGGCAGCTGAGGTCGACGAACTATCCCAGAAATGTTCAACCCGCAAGTCAGAGACTACCTTGAATAGCCAGCATATTCCACTCGAATAAGCTTTCACAGATTAAACCAGAAATACCAATCCGATCATCCATTATACAAGTAACCTAAAAGATGGATAATTTTATTCAGAGCCAATATTATAGGTTGACACAAGGATGAGGCATGAAACTATAACTCCACAACTACAAAAGATATAGAGAAGATAGTTATATGATCAGAGAGCTGTAGGTTGATAGAGAATACCTCCTAGGTATGGATTCCAATTACCAAATTTGCGAATTAGTATTTTGAGCAATTTCTCCTGGTTGGCATGCGAAAATCACGAGAACTTTTGTCATCCATATACGCACTGGTGCAAAAGGATTATATATACATATATCCCTCCTTAGGCCTCCAGGCCTAGTCTCAATAGTATTGCTCAAACTCAATAGGGAATTCGTGATAGAAACGCCGCAGAGAAGTGTCCGTAGCTACATGTAGGTGATCTATCACGGCCGGATTAGATGAACTAGTACATGTAGTGCAAAATGGTGAGGAGTGATGCATTCCTATAGTTTTTTACACGTATATCACAACTTCCACATCTGATTGTGTAACACGCTTGAGATCAGGCCTGGCGGCCTAAAGGGATAAATACGTAAACCATGACATTAAATGATGGGAGTTAAGTGCTATAGTGTACGTACATGTAGTCATGTGAGCGAAGCTGTTGGCTACATTCTGGAGGCTAGACTCTTAAGCCGGAAATGATAATGTGCATACACGTGCACGTGTACTTCGCCGCCACGTTCTACTCACTTACCCTTGACACCGTAGTACTCCAACAAGTTCATATTTCACTAGTGCATTTGCCCATTGAGCGGCCGCGGCCGGCCTGTGATCTATAAACCACTGCACAGTTATATATATAACTACACGTACATGTATTTACTTAATTACAGCTAGCTCACAACACCTCGATTGGAATTAATCTATTACAACTAGCCGATATACTATAGTGAGATACTAAAATATTTGCGTAGTGTAATGTATGTATTTGTAGCTAGCCATATGGGCAATATATAGATACATGTACATATATCTCTCTACAGCTAGACGTACATGATTTCACGTACAACCTGGAACAGAAGATAGAAATAAGTCGATTAAGAATAATGCAATCAAGCTCACTGTACAGCCCGTGTTTAGAAAATCATAACTGATCATGATACGGTAATTCGTCTGAACTATTTACAGATCTATGATTATGACAGTACTACCTTGGTTTCTCCATCACCAAGGTTCAAAAATGATGATAACTTCACATGTAATTAAAGAGGAATTTAAACCCAAAAGTAACTTTCTTTAGCTATCTAGATATCTTTATGCAATTATGGACTCAAGCCTCTTTCTTTCTTAATTGCAGTACGTCTACGTACATTCATGTGTTGCCACCGTACCCGGAGTCATTACTTAACTCTAAATTGATTCCTATCGATCCTCGAGTCTCGGACCCGTCGCACGTCGTCAATGTTGATATCGATCCCGAGTACTACATACGGCGTCGCGATCATACCCGGGCCCTAGGGAAGCAAATCACCTCATGGTTTCCCGGGCGTATCTTCCGGATCCCCTTAGCTTCTCTCTTTAAACCTAGTTCTCATTAGTTGCCGTCGGTTTAGCTATAGTTTTTGTCGTTTATAAGCTAAGAGGCCCATAGTATAGTTGGACTTGGTTCAATGGGAAGGGCGCCGGATGAAGGGTTATTTTCGACGGTTTTTATTTTTATTTTTTGTCATGTAGTAGATGCATGCATGTATTATCCACGTTCCGTTCGATTCAATGTATATACATGTTAGTATGTAAGTGCATATAAAGGAACTCCATATATATTATGCACCAATTTTCAGCGTGGAATCAGGGTTGCAACTCAAAAGTTAATATAGCGAAAATGTATTTTACGACGACCGCGAGAATGAAAATTCCTCATATCATATGGCTCGAGAAGCTATGGGGGGTAGATGTGTAAACTTCGGCGTTTGCAGCCAATCAATCTATAGAAATTGGGAGATCTACTCCCATAATGGTACTAGAGCCTAGCCTAACGGTGGAATTTTCTCTAATTCCATACAAAATTAAAAGGTTCCTCTGAACCTTCTCGCGCCATACATCGTGTAAAATTAAAAATTGGTTATCTCCGGCCAGGGTTTATCTCTCTAGCGATTGGCTAAGCTAGTGGTACCGATCTACATTTAAAATTTCCTTTTATAATTATACATGTAGTTTTGCAATTGATCTAGCACTAGCCAGCCAATTTAAGTCCTGAAATACATGTATACACGTATATATTAATTGTGGCTGATTTTGCACACGTTCTAAATTGCAATATGCATAACAGCTGGCTCGTTCCAATACATAGTTTTACTGAGTTGTGCGCAAGCATTTATGTTAACTTAGGGGTTCGGTGTCCATTACCGCTAGCAATCCAGGCCTCCCGCCGGAGACTTGACGTCCGCAAAGGGGCCTGTGGCGTGGCAATATTAAATGATGCTTCACGGATCTTGCCCAGGACCCGATCAACTTGCAGTACCACATTAAGGCATCCAATCGCCACTGAATGGGCCTGAGAATTGATATACTAGGTTTTCTTCAGGCTTCTCAGGTAATATTATGTTATTATTTATAATAGGCACATACTATAGACATAGAGACAACCTAACTATCCAATTCCGCAGAACAGAACTAGATTAGGACCCCGGTATCAGACATTCGCGTGATCTGATAATTAATCCAGTTATTTCACTGCCAGAGGGGGTGTATGGCTTGGCCAATTGGGTGCGGGTGTCATCTTCGGAAAACGGGCATTTTTTATTTGCATAAGAGACCTTGATTTCCTACAGGACACCAAGCATTTTTAGAAAATAGACCTGCACCCTAAGGCCTGATCTCGAACCATAGCTACATGTACGTATATAGCGGGCGACAGCTGGAAGGGTACTCCGGTTTCAACTTACAACGCTTAACGGCTAGACTTAGAGAGGTGATCGCAGTACCCAAAGTGGCGATAGCAAAACCTTTAATCCTACTATAGGAATATTATTGCCCAGCTTGGTCCCACTATTCCTAAAACCATCTAGCAGCCCAATTCTTGGGCGTTGAGACGAAGGTACCTTTCTAGCTGTCGCCCGCCATACCTACCTATATCTACATGTATATATATACAAGCAAGCCACCGACCGAATTGGCCTCCAAGCTCAGATGAGTGCAGTGATAGTCTGCCTAAGAGCGGGGAAGCTACCTACCAATAACCCCCCCTCCCCCCCCAAAAAAAATACCTTGGGCGAAAATGCATCTGTTTTAGCGACCCGTGTGGTTTTTTATTGCCATGGACTAATGGGCACTACATAATTGTCGAGTGATATTCCATGAATTAGCACATGTTTATGGTAAGTCATAGAGTCGATACCCAAAGAAACATAGTATATGCGCTATTCTTGTTTGGGAGTTGACAGCCACATTGGTGCATCAATAACTGAGGCTCCGCGAGATGTTCTGTTTCCCACTGACATTGGAATCTACCGATTGGTTCAGGTCTGCCGGTTGTAACCCGACTCGACATATGTATGTATGTTGGCAAGGAAGTGAGAGTGCGGCGAAAGAATCAAAGATGGGCATGAGGGTATTGGTACAAGCAATACTCATCTCATCAGATGACTCTGTGACTTCAGGTGTCAGTCCTGCCTGTGTTTGAGGCCAATATGAATCGGTACTAGTGGGGTTTGAAATTCTAGCCGACACTTCAAATATCAACCAGGTAGGGGAGGGGTATTGTTCACGCCATAGCTTAAGGCTCCATGCGATATTCTTGTACCCAGAAATAAATGAAACACTGAATTAAAAAAAAAAAAAAAAAACTTCAAATATCAACCACGCCCGCCCTTCATCAATCCTTAGCCATCATCAATTACTGAAATTTCATTGGATGAGGGAGGGTTAGAGACACAGATACATGTAGTTTAATGGTACATATGCGACTAGGAACATAAATTTAGTTCTCATTTCGCGTTGACTTCTGTAGGTGCCTGTAATTAGTAGGAAAGGAAAGCGATTTTGCAACTTCATCTTGGCAAAGCCATGTCTTTATTCTTGGTTTCTAGTACATATGAGCGGCCAAAAGAACGAACTACATGTATTATATACATTTACGCACAAGAAATATACAGCCAAGTCCTAGTATTCGAAAATTCCCCAACTAATCATACTATAGACTATAACTAAAATAAGCCGACGTTTGTTGGTATCCGTTGTAATACTCTCCCCCTCCTCCAGAAACTGAAATAAAAACATCTACTTTTGCATGATTTCAAGCCTTCAATCCAGGAGACACCTATCAAGCAACCAAAGCACGCAGGTTTCTTTTCTTCTTTTTACCCAGAAAAAAAAAAGCAAGAAACATCTTGAGCAAATGCAAGTTCAACTTGGCTAAAAACAATTTTTTTCTCAAAAGGAGACCCTGACATATTGGTTTTCCGTGAAGCTAGGGAAGAGAGTAAAAAAAAAAGGGGGGGAGGGGATGGAACGAAATTGACAGATACAGCTGAAGTGTCATTAACAATGCAGCTGAACTCAAAAGAAAGAGGAATGAGAATAAAAATAAGCCATAGACGATACCTGGACATGGACGGATACAGAAATGGAAACTGTACCCATACAAGAAACGCAACCAAAGAGTTTTTGAACACTGGAAAAGACAAAAAAATAAACATGGTTGACCGCCAATCAAGCCTAAAGGTCCAAACTGATAAGAAAAAAAAGGCCCCGAAGAAAAGCTAAACCCCAACCCACAGAATGGAAAAGCAAGCAAGCAAGCAAAACCCGATACAAGGACCAACACAACACGACGATACTAAAAAAAAGGCCTAAACAAAGCAACAAGATTTTTTCTGAACGCCGGTGAAGTATCAACACTCCCAACACCCCTTCCCCCATTTCTCCCTTGCTATTGTTCCCATTATAACTTTTGTTCGTGTTTCTTTCTTAAGCAGCGTAGACGGAGTGGTAGCCACGCGAGTCAGCTTCAAGGCGGTCCATTCTACCGTCCTTGGCTGCAAGGTACATCGTATTCATTCGTTGGATGTCGAGGGGTTCCGTGGGGTCATTCTGACCAGGAAGAGCACCAGGGGGGCCAGGAGGTGGCATTTGACCTGGTTGAGGAGGTGGGTGCATATGAGCAGCATGAGGACTACAGGAAAACACAAAGACGCAAAAAATCAGCAAACAAACGCTTCCCCACATTATCACAATTTTTCTTTAAGTGAGCCGAGAAGAGAGGGGATGACATATGGGACATAAGCGCATAGGTAAGCAATGTTTGTACAAAGATTGAAAGAACTTTTGCCATGGGGAAATAAAGAAAAAAGGCAATGTGTGAATAGATACATCGAACTATAAGATATGAAAGGAAACCGTGTAACTACTTTAGTGGAGCGAAATTCGCGTAATGGTGCTGGGGAGGAAGTCCCATTGACGGGTAGACCGGGGGCGGAGGAGCAGGTCTGTAAGGTGTTCCGGCGGGACCAGAATTGTTTTGACTGCGGCCCCAGCTCAACCTGACCCTTGAATTCCCGATAGGATAGCCCTGCATTTGATTGATTGCCATCTCCGCCGCGTGTCTTTGGACGAACTGCACAAACCCGCAACCTTTTCCAGGTGGAATTTTAACATAGGTAATTTCCCCAAATCCTTGGAAGAATGAGCGAAGTTCATCTTCAGTTACATAGCCTGATAGTCCTCCGACAAATACGGTAGTGTTATTGGGATCAGTAAACTGATTCATGGGCTGAGGTGCACCATAATAGCCCATAGGGGGGGCGCCCATTGAGTACATTCCCACAGGTGCGGCACCGCCAGGCATTGCTTGACCAGTGGCGGCGCTCTTATTCTTGGGGGTGGCGGTTGAGATGCGCATGGGTCGGTTTCCGCAGTAAACACCTTGCATTTCAGACAAGGCACGTTGCTGATCCAATTCCTCAGAAAAGCGAACAAATCCGTATCCACGCGACATACCGCTCACAGGATCAGTCATTATCTTGGCAGACTTGCAAGACGGAAACCTGGATTGGAAAAGAGAGACAAGAACATATTCATTAACTTCCGGCCCAAGATCGCCCACAAAGATGGAGAATTCGGGACCACGATCATCGCTGGAAATAAAAATTTGTTAGTTTACTAATTATTGGAGTAAGGGATATAGATAAACGCACCGTCGATCAGCCAATCCCCCACCAGAAGCCCAATTCAATTTGAAGGGACGGGCACTTCCGGGAATGGCATTGCCGTTGAGCGTCAAGGCTTTAGCTGCTGCAGCAGGACTATTGAAATCAACAAAGCAGTAACCAGCGTTTCTATATTGTAAATAGCCATTATTAGCGTTCAGTAAGTCACGCATAGGTAGGTAATAAACGCGTACCCGGAGAACTTGTCACGAATCATCTTGACATTGACAGGCTCGCCCATCTGGAACCAAATGTTGCGGACAAATGCCTCATCGATCCAAGGCTCCAGCTCACCCATCCTAAGGAATCAATATTATTAGAATTCTATTACATAAAAGGACTACTCGAGTGATATGCACTTAAAGGATGACATCGAACTTACCACAAAGTTGTCTTGGCATCAGTAGATGGTGCCCCATTAGAGGATCCGGTTGCAGAGTTATTAGGATAAGGCGCCGGAGAAGCAGTGGGTTGCTGGGAAGCGGGCTGGCCGGTCGTCGGAGCGCCGGCGGAGGCACCGGCCGTCGGGGAGGCGGAGCCCTGCTGTTGGTTGTAATCATATTGGAAAGACATGGTTTTTGGTTTGATCGTTAAATGCGGATGAAACTGTTAGTCAAGGATGATGTTAGTCTTTGTTGAGGTCGACTCGGATACCGATGGAAATTTCCGGTTCGTAGCGCCGAAAATCTTTTTGGAAGGAGAAATGCCTTTTGGATGTCTCGAAGACCAACAAAATCCGAAAGAAAATTGCAGGAAATTGTTGTTATGCAATGAATATTTCGTTACTCCTCTCAAAAGGTTTTAGCGAAAACGACTAACGAGTGTACGCTGGCAAAGATGGATCTGTGGAACACGGCGATGAGAGATGGGCATATGACGCCTTTTCGTAGGAGTAGAAAAACACACCTTTGACTGCGTGAATCTGGCTCGCCGGTGTGCAAGGGGAATTCGTCAAATTGCAGTGAGGTCTTTAGAGATGTAAGGGCCGTGGCAAATATCGCTCTAAAAAACGCAAGGGACGTGTCAACATTTAATCATACCATGAAAATGAGACAGAAGGCTAGTGCATAGAATGATATGTAGATGAATTGAAAAGAGGAAGCGAGGGACATATCATGAATACATGGGGAGCGGAAGGGGAAGACAATACTATTTAGTCGTTTAGAAGACGTTAAAGAGAAACGGACAATGATAGCCTTTAAATTTGTCTTAGAAGAAAAATTTATCTCGTTGAGGGGGAGAGGACAGACGTCGAGAGGAAGGGGAGTTGAGTGGTGGGGGGGGGGGGGGGGGGGGAAGGGGATTGAGGGTTGCAGAAGGGATTGGAAAAGCAGAGGGGGGATGGGATGGTGGAGAGGCTAGGAGTGAGGCCGATTTAACTTGGGGGACGATGACGAAGTGCGAAGAAGCTGAAATGTGTGTGCACGGGTGGTAGTGGTTATCGGTAGTCGCGGTAGTAATATGTAGCAGAAGCAACAAGAAGCGAAACAAACCTTTGAAGTTATTCTGTTCAGGAAACCGAAACCAAACGATGCTAGCTAAATAACAAGAATAATGAGAAAAGGTAGATCCGTCCGTGTATAGGATTCGACGATGTGAGTGAGGGAGGATGATAGAGAGCGAGAGGTTTTAGAATGGAATAGAATAGTATGCAGAGAGATCAAGGAAACAGAAACTCAGAAGAGACCAGAGAGAGACTGGGGGGCGCAGAGAGGTAGAAAGAAGAAGGGAAGACAGGGAAGGGTGGGAAAGTGGTGGTAGATGTACAGAATTATGAGAGAATACTACATGTGTCCATACATGGTCATCAGCTAAAAAAAACATTACAAAGTGCGAGGAGTCGGAGTTTAGCGTCTGTTCAGCGCGTCACAGTCAAGTCAGTCAACCGTCAATCAAAGGCAAAAGAATGCCTACGAATGCTTTTGACGTATGTACATGTTTATTTGTGGTGACCACCGTGGGTGCTACTCATTCTTCTCCTTAAGTACACGCATACATTTATTTCTCTCTCAAATTCGTTTCATAAATGTAACCTACATGTAGGCAGACCTCATTCTTTTTCGCCTCTACATACATCATCATCATTGTTTGACCACCCACCTCTCTAGAGTACAGCCATCGGGCTCTCACTCCAGGGTTGCCAAAGGTGCATACATACATAGCCGTATAAGATGTCAAGGGTCAGCGGCGGTGACCGGGGCTGGGTTGAGGTTCTGGAAACAGACTTTTTTGAGAGAAGTTTAGATGTTGAATCATAACCCTATCACCCCTGATGTTTTTTTTTTTTTGTTTCTAATTATCGTCTTGCATAATAAGTAGGTACATGTAGAATACAGACCAGACTTGATAATCGAAGGTGAGTTCTGGCAAGTAATTCATCATCTCGTCTCCAAAGTTGAGATATCTACAGTCTGACTGAGCATGCTCCAAACTGTTCGCTGTCCAGGTTATAATAACCTGTGTCCATTTCGATGATTGGCCACGGTTCCTAACAATGAAAATCAAATCCCAGTCCATGCGATGCAGTAGAGTAAAGTTACGCGTTTTGCTTGGCTTGAGCTAGCTTAACTAACGGTTCTTCTACCTCCGAGTCCGGCCCTCACCGCAAACCATCTACCGCCACATGAACTAATGCATCCCCACTGCAAATATCCGCATCCGTCCTGTCTGCTGGAAGGCGTACGAGCTTCTCCCTTCTCTCGAGATAATCGTTTCCAGAAGACAGACTTATGTGAGGTTTCATTCATTTTTGTCAGGACTTTACGCCCCGGAAGGAGATATTATTTATCCATTTATCATGATGGTCGGTCTAGTGCCCGGCAACGGCGCGCGCTGACGGCATGCTCATTCCATCTCACATGATGACATATCCTCCGCTAGATCGGCTACTCGGGAATTTCTTCTCCTTCGTTCTCATCGGCGTCACAATACCTACGATTTCTCACAACAATATCAATAAAAGAACAAGTACTCTACTATCCAGTACATAATAGATATGTAGGTATATAGCCACAAGATATCGATGGTACCGGTGGTAGTGAGAAGATGAGCTGGGCTCGAAAAAAGCAACTTGATCAAATTCAAGGATTCAAAACAGAGCGGGATATTTCTTCTTCTGAATCGTTGATTCGAGCATGAAGATGTGCATTTTTCTTAATTACTATGTTGTATCTGTTCCTGAAATGCTCCTGTAAATGAGATATTGCCTCAAAAACAGAAAACAGACATCCAACGCACAATTCTATTCAGACACACAGTCACACAAGCACGCACAAGTGTGGCTTCCTTGTCGTTCTCAGTTCGTAACGTGTCCTCGGGGCGACGAAGGGAGCGTCTTAAGGAAAACGAGCGGACGGAACCAGGTTTGCGGGTAGCCGCCATAACGTAACAAAGAAGGCTGGAGAAAACAAATAAGGTCGGAGGATTACTAAAACGGGAGCAGACGAAAACGTCCGTAGGTTGCAGGGATCTACTTCCTTGGTAGAGCATACGCTAGATTGCCGCCAAGAAATGAAAGGCTCAGTAACGTATTTCCAAAATTTATTTGATAGCACGTTTTGATGTCATAACCGAACCCGTCCTAAGTGATTGGTAAAGGAAAACAACGCCCAAAACGAATCAATTGCAAAACATATGCTTCCCTTGTTGGTATGTCAAATAGCCCTCTACAGTATCTCTTTTTAAACCCCACAGTACTTTGAATACACATAAATCATTTTGAAATGGATGCACAACTCGCAATTTTAAGATATAACCTGTACATGTGAGAGTTACATGTAGTGAAATACAATCCGACGACCAAGGAAACCACCGGGTAGTCTTATTATAGCATTGATAGTAGTATTCTCAAGAAATGTGTTAAGATATTGAATTTGTTGGGATCTTGGTTGACATGGCACCGGTACCCTCTACCCAAATCTCAAAACTTGCCGTATAAATTCCCACGTATGAACAGAATTATCTCTTGGAATATATGCTTATGGGTTTTTGTGAGGACGTGAAGGTTAGGGAAGTTGCCAATTTTGGTGTGTTTTGGCATAAAGACGGTGATTTATAATTATTAAGAATGTCTAAGAATTATATATGTACCTACATGTACATACCTTACTGTAGGTACCACACCCACAAATCAAATTTTGAGTTCTGCTATAGTTGAATACCTTCCTCCGGATCATCATAAAACATCAGCTGTCATTATAATACGGTTTAGATTATCGGCCTATCAAGAACGTACCACATTCGCATTATGTACAGATCTAGTTACAAACATGTAGGCACTCGAGTCTTCTAAATGTGCAGGCACATTATGTCAATTTAAAATATAGATGTACTAGTACTATAAGAGAGCACTTTAGCCATGAGGCTGGAAAATAATATGATTGTGTAAATTTAAGTGCTCACAACCGTAAAGGGAAGAGCTTATAATTAAGGTGGCTATAGGTGCGTAGGAGTGCATGAAGGAAATGAAGAATTAAATGTGAAATTAAGGTATATCATTTTAAAAAAATACCAGTGTTGAAATATGGTGACCTACGATTCGAACGGGATCGCCGCGCTAAGTAAATGATTCAAAATCGATCGTAGAGTTCATTAGGTACTTGAATATCACGTTGTATAAGTCTTCTATTGTGTGTCCTGAAGGTGTAAACCAAAGGGCATTTCAAGTGCAACTTCTAAAAAAGGTAGGTGCGTATTTTTATGTATGCAGTCGAACTCAATTATGTTACATGAATAAAAGATGAGGGGAGAAGTAGGACTACAGGTCTCAGAAACTCTGGAGTTAAGAGGATTTCCCTAGCTTAAAATTTGCGAGTTCTTGTAGTATATATTGGGCTGGATTTTATCAACTCTAAATGTTAATTTTTCAATGAGAATAAACTTCCAAATCCCAACCATACGCTCCCAAGCCGGAAACCTCAAACCCCTATGTATGTATCTCGACGTAAGAGTATTACACGGCCATGTAAAGGGGTTCTCTTGTCTCAGTCACAACGGCCTCAGCTCCCTAGCCTAAATCTTATTATAATCGCTTTGTCTCTTCATACGTTTTCCTCGTAGGCAAATCTCCCCAAATCTGGAGAGCATTGTGTATGCTCGGCATCTTGAAATCAAGAGGACGTCTTAGCAACAATCAGTTCGATCAGTGCCAAGTCTGTATTACCGAACACCCTCGCTAGACATTTTCAGAGCGATTAGGATATACCAGTGGTAATCAGCATGATCATTGAGGAAGGGGGCAGCTAAAGAATACTTTAACGCCTTCCACTACATGCAATCTACTATTTATACGATATACAAAGTTGGATTTCTCATTTTACCTGGAGACTTGGAGTAAAGGAAAAAGAGATAATTGTCTAACCCATTTTGGTAGTCTTACGTCAGTTAGTATATTTGTATATGTAAGTGCGTGTGTACTAATGAAATACCACATGTTCATGGTGTTGGAACTATTATAGCTTTCAGGAATTAGTACATCTTAAATGCGGAGGAAAAATTCAAGGGGTACTTACATATAAGTATACTATTTATTCAAAGCTACATTAGCAAGATCATAGAAAAGTTCATGGCAAAGAACTAATTAGCACTATAGGCCACAGTATCAGACCGCAGCATTGGTTGATAACGCATGATGATAGTGTATGTTGATGATGATATAGCATAATCATATCAGCCAAGCTATTTTTTGACCCCGACTTTTCTGGTTGGATCTAGGACGGGGTTGCAATTCTCAAACTCGTCCGGATTGTTTAAGCCGATTCGCTTACCAAAAGGGCTGACAAGTCCAAGTGGGGAAGCCAATGTATTAGGTATGACTTTTGTTTGCTTTTGAGAAGACCGCCTCCTAAGATCATCACTCCCGGAGCCAAAGTGAGCTTTAGAAATTGTGTTCAAGCCCTTTTGATGCTGAACATCAGGGACGATCCCCTGTAATACAGGTATGGTTCTTATAACGCCTTCATGTTTTCTAATTTTGCCGTCCTCCTGGGGTCGGGGTGTGGCAGGGAACAGCTCATTGGTCTCAGAAGTTTTTATCTTCTTTGTAACTCTTCGTTTCCTTCCAGCCACCGTGTCACTATCTTCCACCTTAGAGATAGAGTTGTCTAGGGTTCTTTCCTCAACCGTTTTCTTATTAACGTCCACAATCTCAGCTGATTTAGAAGCATGTTGATCGTCAACTGAGGCCAAATGGATCGATGAAATAGGTGCTTTGGGTAGATCTAGGTGTACAGGCCCAGGATCTAATTAAGTGGATGTTAGAAACATATGGGATGGATAAAAGGGAATTCAAATTGAGACAAACAAATGATAAACCAAAACCTTGCTAAGTGTATTCTTGCAGTAAACTCTGCTTCTCTCATCTGAGTAGTCTTTTGGCTCACTGAAGCTAACCCAATTGGTTTCCATTCCATGATTTCTTTATCAGCGCCCCTCGGAATATAAGTATTATGCCCCCCGATTTCCTCCAATCGCTCCTCACCTCCGATGGTAGCCGGTTTATATGAAGGCCTGACAGGTACTGCAGTACTGGTACCTTCGTTCCTATTTGATTGTTGGGACTCGAGCTTCCTTTTAGTTCCCTGGATATTGACATTGATGCTGTGCTGGAGCCATTGAGAAGACAGTGAAATAGGAGGGATATAGAATGCTTCTTGAAGCACTGGCGAGAATATCAAATATTTTTCTAGGGTATTATGTTTTTTCCCAATTGTGATGAGTATCTCTATGTGTGAGGTGTTTAGTGGCAAACCTGAAGGTGCAAAGGGGATTAGTGTCGGATCCTCAGAATTCCAGCTGGTGGCCGTCTCAATCGTGTTGATTGCCTCAATCGAGGATGTTAGAGTGGAGGCGGAGAGGTTATCTTTCGGTTTTCCAAAGTTTCGGGGAGGTGAATTAAATATAAAGGCCACTTCCTCTGTTCTTGCTACACGTAAACCCGAGAATTCAATCCGGGTACCTTTGGGCCATATTTTGGCCTGTGGTAGAACCCTCCAACCACTTACTACACCATCAATCTTGACCTCAATCCTCACATCACCCTTGGGATGATTTGGGCTATGACGGTCAGTATCTGCATCGAATTCGACCACTATGTAGAATGGAAGGGGCGAGCCAGTTGTTGCAGGAGAGATGACATTGGTTCTTAATATTGGATGTGTCATTCCCTGTATTGGGCTCCACGTGATTTTCGAGGTCGATTCAGAAAGTCTGGATAGTGTTGATAGAGGGCCCGAAGATATATCCTGAAGCTCCAGGAATGTATGGATTCCATAAGAGTGGAAACTAGGCATGATGGCCAGAGTTCAACTTTGTAGTCTTGAAACCCAAATGGTTTGATGGTTGGTAGAGAGGCCATGAATGATGATACACACTCACGAGGGCTGAGACCCTCAGCCCTCAACCCTGAGCCCTACCTACCTCAGCACTCCCTGAATAAACGTCATACAAGTTGTAGTAATCCACGCTACCTTCGTCTGTGCCTACATGTAGGTACCTTATGCAATTCAGTCAGCCCCATGTATCCATCGCTGCCTTCGCCCGCTCCATCAGATGTTTCAACAACTTCATATCACACTCTACCGCATCCCCGCTCGTCGGGCCCACTGAAGGCTGGATCTCGTCCCGAGTCAAATCTAATAGCATATCTCGATGTTCAGCTTCTTGAAGTTTCGAGGAAATATGCTAAGAAATTCCATGAGGGTGGCTATTTTGATATAAAGACAATCGCTGAAGATCTTGAGAGATTGGTAGATGTACTTTGGGTTTCCTCTACTCGTCTGTCTCTCGCTTTACTTTATTATACCCTAGCCACGCTCTCTCAAACACCAGGGGATATATTCGGTTATGGACGCTCCGCTAATCAAGACTTTGGTAAAGCAACTCTTCAAATACATTATATGCTTCAGATGGCGAACTCCTTCAACGATTATCTTGCCTCGTTTCCCCCCCACTTGAAAGTCACACTCCGTCTATTGGACACATTTGATAGATGCTTCTACACCCTTATAACAGAAACATCTGCTGACCCATCCACGCCACTCCCACCCGCATTTTCAGCATATCAAATGAACATGACCGAAAAGGTGCGACTAAAAAGCATGATCGAGAGAACAAGACTGCATGTGGTGAAGCTATTGGAGAGTGGGAGGGGAGCGCCTGATCCATTAACCGAGAATGCGGGAAATTTTGGCGAAAGAAATGAACAAATAGACATCGATACAGAAAATGAAACAGAGGTCGATGGGTGTGGAAGTTATGCAGACGACGAGGAGCTAGAAATTGAGGTATCAAAGGTTTATGATCGATGCATGGTTCAACTTGGAGAAGGTTTGAAGACGGTTGGATAAATTTGAAATGAAAGGAATGTTCATATCGCAAACATGCTACATACATGTATTATCTAGGATGTCATTTGAGCTTTTTTAGCTGGGCTTGTCTCTTTGAGTGGGGTTTGTGTGTGTGTATATAATCATAGTTCTTCAAACTGGATTTTATCTATGTAAGAAGTACATCTGCTCATGATCATGGAGCGTAAAAGCTCAAAGGATCGTAAAGAAATGATGATATATTATGAGAAAATGAAACTGAGGTGCCCAGTCCCTCATGTAGCTGATATGATTTCCGGGTGATGTTTCATGATCGTTAGTGCCATCCCAGATTTCCTAATAAAAGTGTCGGCTTAGTGTTAGTTTTTGGTAAGCTTTCTGCAACGGTTTCCGTTTTCGAATAGACACCAGAATGGCAGCAGGAGACGGATTTAATGTTGATGAACTCAACTGTGCTGACCCCTCGACCCACTCCTCCATCAAAAAAGATGATGGATATGTGAATAAATCCATCGCTTCTCTTAAGCCAGGTCACTCCAATGTATCTATCAGTGGAAGGATTGTCAATCTTTACTACCGAGAGACTGATTCTAAAGCGGATGAGGTCAAAAAAATATTAAGCATCATCGTCAAAGACATAGACGGTGTGATTGAGGTAGCTTATCTCCACTTATATTGTCATCGAATTTAGTTTAACTTGAGATACAGGTAAAATACGAGGTACCGTCAACCCTGGATGCCAACAGAAATGAAGCTGGCTTTTATCTCGGACGATTGTGTAGGGTATACACTACCGAAGTCTTTGCTCTAGATCCTCGGTCCCTTCAGAGCTCACCAGCAGGAATGTCTTACTACATCAAAGTTTTAGAGACAGACTACACTTCACAATTTGGATTCCTTGAAGAAGATGACACACTGTTTAGGACACCAATCAGCTGTACCTTGAGAAGCAAAGGGGAGGAATTCATGCCGCTGAGAACCTTTTTAGAGATTGGGCCCCGGATCCAGGGAGTTATGGCGCTGGTTTGCATTAAGGCAGTAAGTCATTATTGATTGTAGGTGACAAGACCGCAGCTAATTAGTACCATCAAAGATTTATTACCGAAGAATACGTATGTAGTCGTGATACACGACCCCCCACTGGTCTTAAAACATTCCTAACGTTTCTCAGTTTCAAAGATTGATGGAAGATTACTTAATAAAGTTGATGTCGTTGTCTTTGACGACACTTGCGACAGCAGATTGACTATGTGCGGAGCAATTTCATGTTCAGCAAGAACCTGGAGTACGCACGAAACAGGTTTGTTCGCAACTATTTTCACATCAACGATCTAATATTGGATAGTTCTCCTCATAACATCTGCCCATACTGAAGTATGGGAAGATAAGTGCCATCTCATAGTCAATCGCGCCACAACGATCGATGTCAACCCAGCCACTGAAGCTACAGCACGACTGCGTGCTTACGCTCAGCTCATCAAGCCACCTACATTCATCTCGCCTCAGTTTCCCGTAGATCAGGTTTTTGACTGGGAGAGAGAGTTAAATAGTACCAACAACGTTAGGTTACTTTATCGTTTTAGGGAAATCAATGATTTCGTAAAATTACGCCCTAAGGACCAATGTATCGGCTACATAAGCATTATCATTGCCGAAATTAACCTAGTTTCTATGCAAGTTACATAGAACAATCCTCACAAGTTTAACATGACTAATAGACAAGCACTATTAACTATAGATATAAGAAAAATATGTTATTTTATGGAAACTGGTGAAGCAAATAATGTCTCCTAACCTTTAATGCACGATATACTGATCTTTTATACAGCTGCGAAACCCCCGTCTTTACAAATGAACTCCAAGTCGAATGTATAAGATGCAACGAGGAAGTCCCAAATCTACTCCCTAATCGTGATATTGTCAGAAGTCCTCTGTAATATAACGTATTATTAAGGTTGCTGTAGAACTTACTCAGTATGCGAGAAAATCTAGATCGGACTTGTCACCGATGAAACTGGATGCCTACCTGGAAACAAGGCACTATTTTCTCATCGTTCTTGGAGTAGTTTCTTTGGCTGCTCAGTTGAAGAGCTGGCTAGGGGAGCGAGCATCGATAACTTTCGAGACTTTGAACAGAGAAATCTCTTCACCAGACTTACCATGATCTTTGGCTTAGATCCCAAAATTGAGGGGATTTCAATTTGGGACGTCCAGAGATAACCGCTATGATGACCCGCTATAATTATAAGAAGCTAAAAGCTTTAAAGAAAGGCTGTAACAAACCTTTACTTTGCGGGCCGTTGGTTAAGGGGCGTGAGTAAACTCCTATCTATGAGAGACGTAATATTGTTATCCGAGCTATGCTAATTAGCAGTCCACAATAAGATATGCTTTCAAGAATTAATAGTCAATATCCGGCGAGCTTCTAAAAACTCTTAGGATTATTCTATGAACTAGATTCGATCATGTTAAGATACAGACATTCCAGATTTTAATGTAATAAGAGCGGTTGCAATCGAGTGATATTTGATGATTACCGGTTATTCCTATTTGATCATCCACCACAAATATCAGTTTTAATAGCTATTAAGATTTAGGGGAGACCTCCCTTCAGCTTATTTATTGTACCTCTGTCTAACCCGGTGAGTAGTGGTCCACAATGCAGGATTTGAAGGTTTAGTACATACATGTATTCATATCGATCTCCTCGCGATCGTCAATCCCGAGTTCCACATATTAATAATAGTGTGAACAACACTTGAGTGAAAGTTCCCACTACAGGACCCGGATGATATTTTGAGCGGTAATATGAATTATTTACCACCGCGAGTCATAGGCGCCACCTGCGGGGTCCCATTACCTGAAGATGAAAGAGGGGTAGTCAATTCGAAACCAGCACTGAGATTTGTATATTAGCCATGTACATGCATGTAGATATATATGCTCTGCTCGATAGGCGAAATCCTCTAGTTCGCGAACTGGGTGCCCGGTTCAGTTGATTCCCCCGACAGGATGACCAGTTCGTGAACTGTACAGCCTTTTTGAGCGGGGCACGATTGGGAAAGTATGAATTCTAATCGATCAAGTTTCGCTTGAGATTAAGTCCAAGAAAACAACCAAGTAGTGTAGTGAAACGTCTTTTTAACTAAATTACCTTATTTTGAATTCTTCCAGGCCAAATACTACAAATACTACATGTAATTAATATACTCACTCGTTCTCGATCTCAATGAATGAAAAGCATCATTTATTTTGGAGGATCAAAAACCAATTGAGTACAGGCGTTATGTGGATTAATATAATATCAATCCAATTGAATACAATTACAATAGAATGACTGTGGAAGTTAAGGCTAACTCCCGGGCTGGGTGAGTTTGTCGATTTTCACTGCTAAAAGTCTTTTGGGTGGGACAACATCTTATGAATTTGCTGAACAGGTTAACCGTTCAAATTTTGTATGGTGCTTCTGAGCAGGACAACCCATTGGAAAATTTCGCCTATCGGGCAGAACATATATATCGGTTCAGGAACATTGAAATTGAAAGGTCGAGAGATGAAATGTTTCATCGTTTCTTTTGTCTTTTCCAAAATACGATAACTCTAGCTTAGGCCTAAGCTCGAGACTAGAGGGGCAAAGTCCGAACTAGCGCTCAGCTCATGGACTGTATCACCCCCTCACCGTTTTTCCAGATTCAGCCTGAATATTGGATGACATTAGTACTGCGTGGTTCTTGTATATAAGATGATCAAATTCTGAGAGACGGCCAATGATATAGCGTATCAATACTTTACCGCCTCAGGGGGGTATTTTATAAAACTTACCTATACCGATCATCAAACGCTTAGACAAACTACAGGTTTATAAAGACTTTTTTGTATATAAGCCCTTTTTAAAGCGAGTTTTCAGTCTTATCTCATCCTTAAACCTAATTTTGTCAGTGAAAATGTGTATCAACGATTCACTAAAATGAGGACTAGAATTTCGTCTTTTTATTTCAAGTTGTTATATATGAAGCAAATAGCGCCCGGTCCGCTTCAACGCCGGCATATATATGACAGTACACAAGTACTAGGGGTGTGCCAACTCGCGACCGCGAGTTGTACGTTGAATTATGGGTACCAAATAAAATTTAATTCTCCCTCTACAATCATGAGGGGCCTTTGGCCCCATCCTACTCCTCTCGTGAGTGCTCAGTACTTTGATGTGTCGTGCTGACTAATCAACATCCCTGCACTCAGCAGCCAATCAAACCGTTCCAATGTTAGAAAACTTAGCGATAGTACATTATAGACTAGGGGTGGGCCACCTCGCGACCGCGCAATTTAGGCAGCGGAAATATTATATTAAATTAGATATAAAAAAAAATAATAATAATAAAAAATAAAAAAATTAAAAAATAAAAAATAATACTTGCAAGGTATTTAGGGTCCAAAAGAGTTGCTGGTGCAACAAAGGTACTTAGCTTAGTAGTAAATATCTGATACATGTCCTCAATGCTATGGGTTCAACTCATGGCGGGAGCGCGAGCTGTGAAATTCAGACGTTAGTTAGAGGATGTGTCATTGATAACCCTATAGACGTTGGTATTTATGCCTCCTATAGGGAAGAGGGTTGTCCGCTTGGTGAGGCTGGGAACAGTCAACGATCCAAGAGTGTAATGCTCCGGTTATTTACTCCATCCGGTAGTCTGTGACAAAATTAATAAATTCACACGATCATAGTCGGGGAATGGTGTAAATAACCGTGGTAACTCGATGCAGTTTTTTTCTACTAATCGCATATCTTTTTAACAACTTTTTATCACTCTATTACAAAGAAACCATTCTACAAAACAACGATAAGACAGGGAATAAGACAGATAAACGCTAAGAAACATACACGCTAAAGAAAATACAAATTGTTATCTAAATACAGTTCACCGCTCAATTCCTTCCCACTTCCTCCACATTTCCTCCCACCTACTATGCAATTTCCCCCATCATCCCGTATCCAACTCTATCATTCTCTCCTATTTCCTCCATGCCTGGATCCTTCCCACCACTTCCGTAAGTCATTCTAGCTAATGATTTGGTAAACACTTCCGGGTGGTACATGATCGGTATATATACTTACCATTCGATACCCAGTCTCCCGACTTCTTGCATTCCCCCCATCCTACATCCAATACCGTAACCGACCCCTCTTTCCCTTCCTTACCGAAAACCTATAATAAACGTTAGTGTCATATACCAAACTGTCACCTTGCGGCATATACATACCATCTACACAGAAATCCACCTTCTACTACCTCCAACCATATACCCTCAAGTCCTCCCCCCGACTCCAACGTAAGTCCTTTCTACCCTAACCGACAGTCAGTATCAATAAAAATATGGATTAAGGGGACTTACTTCTTTACAGCAGCACTTCACGGTATACAATGTTGTCCGTTTGCGGCGGCGTCTCATCTCGTTGCAGCACCATCAAGCCAGCTACATCTGTGACTCTCGAGAGCGCTACATAGAGCTGCCCGTGAGTGAAGAGATCAGACCTCAAGTCAACCCCAACGACATCCAGTGATTGACCCTGCGATTTATTGACAGTCATCGCAAAGCATAGCCGAATAGGCAACTGCCTTCTCATTAATGTGAAAGGTAGATCTCCCTCAGTGGACGAAAGTTGTATACGTGGTATAATCTTTGGCTCCCCATCAAACTCACCACCCAGAATCTTGGCTTCAATGCACCGTACACCCAGCTTAGTTACCGTCATTCGTGTTCCATTGCAGAGACCTTGCTTTGGAAATAGATTGCGTAGAAGAATTATTGGTACTCCCACCTTTAGTTTAATGATAGACGGTGGGAGGCCAGACGGATTGAGACCCTGCAGATATTCTGAAGGTAGCAGATTTGCATTCTCTTCTGAATTACCACTGTCAACAGTGTCTACCGAATAGTACGTGTGCACTTCGCCTTGAATTTGCTGTAGAACTCTATCATTAAACTCAGCGACTGTGTCGTTTCTCATCGCCAGAATCACCCGCTTCGAGAATGCGGTGTAATTTGTTGGGGCTGATTCAATTATATGCTGTGGGAATACATGCATACAAAGGTCCTCAATTGTCTTACAGCTCTGGATGTATGGTGGTAGAGTTATTCTACCATACCATCGGGAATCATGGCTCATCTGCCCAAGCCAAGCCGCAAACGCCTCATTCTCAACGCCATTGCGGACCCTCATATTGATCTTGAGTCTCAATATCTTGAAGTGCTGCCATAAAGAAGACCGTTGTAGGCATGCCTGCACTATCTGAGCCCTATTACCGCGTTGCACAACTGGTAAAATCTGTGCAAAATCCCCTCCGAGTACGATCGGAATATTTCCGAACAGGCAATCATCCCCCACACTACATATATCATTCAGGGTCCGGCTGACCGCTTCAAAGCAATACTTGTTCTGCATAGGTACCTCGTCCCAGATGATCAGCGCGGTCTTTTGAATTAAACCGGCCAACAGGCTGCCCCGTTTGATGTCACATGTTGAGCCCTCATGGATAGCAATCGGAATTTTGAATCTGGAATGAGATGTTCTGCCTCCAGGGAGCAACTGTGCCGCAATGCCAGAAGAGGCAACACAAAGCACAATCTTACCCTGGGAGTGGAAATGGTTACAGATAACGTTGTATAGGAACGTTTTTCCAGTACCTGCAGGCCCTTGAATGAAGAATAGGGCGGACGCAGCTTCTTCAATACTGTGTGTAATAGTATTAAAGAATTCCAACTGATCTGAATTGAGTTGTGCGATCCTCAACTGTAGACTTGCCGCTTCCGCAACCATATCATATCGTAGTTCTGATGCAATCATCTCGTTCCCACCTGTTCGGTTCCAATCTACTATATAGAGGGGCAACCCAAAGTCGTTAATGTAACGGAGCCATTTCAACTGTCTGGTGTATGAGTACACACAGGGCCCGGTTACATGCTGAGAGTTATTGTTAGAAGCCAGTTGCACGGTGATATGCAAGTACCGGCAGTGTGGTTAGCTACCAGCTGTTAGAGTAACTACATTCCGGGCGCTAGGAAGGGGATCTATTCATGGGAGCAATGACTGACGAGTCTATGCCTCGCCAGTGACTAGAAGACCGGCCAGAGTGAAGCTCTGATTGCCCGGTGATCCTCTATATCCTCCGAGCATTGTAAGTCCGCTGAAGGGCAGGGACTATGCTAGGGAAGTCTACAATAAGCGAAAGCTTTACAGCAATGATTAAGCTTACACCTGAGCGGCAGCTCATTCATGCAGGTCCTCGGTTGTGTGGCAACCAAGACTGCAGGTGTTACAAAGGCTTTGACTAAGGGTGGTTGCCTTGGGTATCGGAAACACCTGCTAACGCCTAGAGAAAAGCGGGGTAGCGGTGGTATTGTTTCCGGTACTGAGGGAAGGCCCACCGGAACTTAGTAAAGGAGTTAGGAGCAGAGAACAGAGGCCTTCGGAGTATAAGTACTCAGGTTCATTCCCGCCCTTCAGTCCGAATTCTCTCCAGTCTTCATCAGAAAGAAAAACCAAGTTCTTATCGGTAGCAGAGCCCTTAAAGATTATTGAGTTCTAGCGATAGTATCTTTGAATAATCTGCAACCTGATTGTCTATCTTGCACGGCCGTCTCTATTCTACTTTAGTCTATACCTCTTAGAAAGGACCCCCGTTACAGATAATCTTTACGGCTCAAGTCACCTTCAGATTATTCTTCCTCTATACAAAATGTCCGCCCTCTCGGCTCCAGATGCACTCCTTCAGATTGAATGGCAGCCGGTGCCCCTCCAGCTGGATGCCACCGGGCAGACACAGCTTGTCAAAAAACCCAGGACCGCTCTACAGACCTACATTCCCGGCTGTGAGCCTGCCTGGCAGGATACCGACGAGATTTCCGTCCAACAGTTCTTCACAGAGCTCCAGACCTACCTCCAACACAGCCTGCAGAATCAGTTGACCCGGGGCAGTCAGGCCCTACTCATTGTACAAGAGCGCCAGGCAGCACAGAATGCTCTGATGGCAGAGGCTCTTGAGTACATGAGGAGGGAGGTCAACTCGGTTCAGGAAGAACTTCGGAAGTATGTGGAGAGGGATGAGCTGAATGCCGATGCCATGGAGATTGAGTGGACAAACCCGGCTACTCCACCAGACTTTGTTGCCGAGATACAGAGAGCCCTTGATGAAGGAAGACTGGTGGTGGGTAGACCAGCAACTCCGGCACCAAATCCAGGCTCTAGGTCCTCGTCCAGGGCAGCCACCAGAACAATGCAGCGGAAGACCAGTCCCTTCGCAGCATTTCCGGTCCGATCCACTAGGAGAGTTATCCCTATTGTGCAGCCAGCGGTGGGGGCTTCACCCTTACCACCTAGCCGCTTCGGTGGAACACATCCACTCCTTGGAGGAGCCGACCGATCCTTTGACTATGAAGGAGAGTTCTTCTCAGGTGCAGGCCGAGGACCTCCCAGCCCGCTAGCCAGGAACCCAGGAAGGTTCACCATGTCTGGGGCCGCTCAACCAGCAGCAACCTCTCCACTGGCCAGCAACCCGGCACCAGTAGCACCTGTGGCCCCTTCTGCTGCGGCCGCTGCTCCCCCTCCAGCCAATGCGCAGGGTGGAAGCGGTGGGAACCAGAACCCTCCACCTCCTGCGGCCCGCGCTCCTGCTCCTGGAGATTCAGACAGTTCTGACAGCTCAGACTCGGAACCAGAAGGAGGTAACAGGAGAGAATGGCGGAGATACCTTAAGAAGAAGTTGGAGAAGCAACAGAAGAACCTGTTGGCAATGATGTCCCAGCAGTATCAACCTCCGGCTACCTCCCACCCTTCTACTTCCACCAGAGCCCGAGAACCAAAGGCACCACCACCATCAAAGTTCCAAGGCAAGGCGGAGCAAGTGGAAACCTTCATCCGGCAATGTGAGAATGTGTTCTCCATTGAGAGCCTGTCATTTACCTCTGAGGAGGTTAAGATCCGATATGCAGGCAACTTGATGGAAGGGGAGGCAGCGATTCGATGGTATGAGGCATACCACAATTCAATTGATCAAGCCTCCGCCAACCGCCTTGCTGGAGTACCGGTGCAGTTGGATCAGAGATGGAAGCACTGGGATTCCTTTGTGGATGCTTTTAGAGCTGCCTTCGGAGAAGCCATCTCCAGAGATGATGCTGTAGCCCAATGGAATACCCTCACCCACACAGCTCGAGGAGGAATAGACCTCTTCCTGAATACTATTATTCAGCTGATGTGGAAGACTGGCTATGAGGGTCAGTTGGTGGATGATAAGATCCATAACTCCCTCCTCCCGGACCTAGGCATGAGTTGGGCTCTTTTCAACCCCAAGCCAAAGTCCTTGATGGAGCGGATAGCTGCTCTAAGAGAGTTAGGGCATACCCATGAGAGGTACCAAGGGATGGCAGCTGAGAAAGCGCACCCTCGGACCAAGAAAGATCCTCCCGCTCAGAAGGACCAGCAGCCTAAGAGGAAAAGAGAAGCTGCGAGCTCCTCCGGACCTCAGAAGACTCCAGGACCTAAAGACAAAGCGGTGGAACTGAAGGGTATCCCGGGGGATATTCTAGAAGAAAGAAGGAAAGCAGAAGTATGTTTGAAGGTATGACCTTCCGGTACTCCCTATTGGTAGAGTGCATAGACTGACTTGTGCAATAGTGCGGCAAGTCCAGACACAAATGGACCGATTGTTGGTCCAAGGAACCTACTGTTGTCCGAGTGGCAGCAGTGAGAGTACAAAAGCGGAAAAGAGGGAATGGCAAGTCCAACTCTCAGAAGAAGGCTAAAGTGGCTGCTGTAGTAGCAGAAGATCCACTTGTTGTACTCCCGGAGGTTACAGAAGATTTTGTTTTTCAGCCTGAGCAAGACTCGGACAATGAAATCATCTGGTAGAAAAGTGTCTGTTTGGGTCTATGTTTACTAGTTTTCTTTTATATGGGTTTTGGTTTCTATGTTTCTTTTGAATAAATTATGATTGTGTTTCCGCCTATTTGATTGCTACAAGTACTCTGAGGATGGGTTTAAGACCCGAAACAGCTGGTCTGTCAGTGCTCTACCAAAGTTATATTTGCTACCAAGACACTTCCAAACCGCTGCTAAAAAGACTACTACACAATACATCTGCTATATTACCGCTTGGGAATAGAACCAAAGGATCTCTGATCTTAGTAGTGCCCGAAGCTATTAGCTATGTTGAAAAGACAAAGAGAAACAAGTTCAGAACCCGCTGTTAAGCAAAGAAGGTTGGAACAGAGGCTTCCCTCCTTACCAGTACATGGAAAAAGACCTATACTGAAGGCAGGACTGTCATGGACGGTCAAAGGAAAGGATGAAGGCGCCCAAGGGTCTTTCCTGTTTGACACCGGTTGTACAGGAGCTATCCTCAACCAGAGTTTTGTCAGGAAACATGGAATTCCCTTAGTGCGGCGGGATCAACCTCTGACAATGTTTGATGCTCAAGGAGATGTCATGATGGGAGGAGGCGAGTATTACACTCACCCGGTCCGTATGACTATGGGAGATCATAAAGAGACACTCCGATGGGAGGTGGCCACACTGGAAGAAGGAATGACCGGTTACCTGCCAATTAGTTGGGCTAGGAAGCATAACCCGGACATTAATTGGGAACTCAACACCATGAGCTGGAGGAGTGACTACTGTAAGCAGAATTGTCTCCCAGCGGCCACCAAGATTGAACTGATCTCTCCATACCAAATGTTGGAAGAAGAAGAGACAGTCTATCAACTAGTTGGTTCAGTATGGCATGATGAGGACGGAGGTGATATTGCTGAGAAAATACACCACCTATACCGGGATTGGGCTGATGTGTTCAGTCAAGAGAAGATTGAGGAAATGCCGCCGCATTCCCATAATGATTTAAAGATCAAACTCTTGCCTGGGACCGCTCCCCCATTTGGCCCGCTGTACCCATGTTCCGCTCCAGAATTGAAGGCCCTCCGAGAGTACCTGGACAAAGAATTGTCTTCAGGAAAGATCTCTAGATCTAATAGCCCCGCTGCGGCGCCCATACTGTTTATTCCTAAGAAAGATGGGACATTGCGGATTTGTGTGGACTACAGAGGATTGAACAAGGTCACTGTCAAAGACAAGTACCCGCTGCCTATCATGAGTGAGCTCAGAGACAGGTTGTTCAAGGCCAAGATCTTCACAAAGATAGACCTGAAGAACGGCTTCAATCTGATCAGGATAGCTGAAGGTGATGAGTGGAAAACCGCTTTCAGAACTCGCTATGGACTGTATCAGTATAATGTGATGCCGTTTGGTCTTTGCAATGCTCCCTCCGCTTTCCAAGCCATGATCAATGATGTGCTGAAGGAACTACTGGATGAAGGAGTGGTTGTCTATATCGACGATATCCTCATCTACTCAGAGACTGAGAAAGAGCATGAGCTACTGGTCAAGAAGGTCTTACAGAAGCTAAGGGAAGCTAAGCTCTGTGCCTCGATCAGTAAGATATCCTTCCATGTCCGAGAAGTAGAGTACCTAGGCTATCACATCTCGGAAAAGGGAGTGTCTATGTCAGAAGACAAGGTGGAGGCAGTTAAGGAATGGCCAATCCCTGAGAATATCAAGGCAGTACAGGCATTCCTCGGATTTGCAAACTTCTATCGCCGCTTCATTGAAGGCTTCAGTAAGGTTTGCAAGCCATTAACTGACCTCCTGCAAAAAGACAAGAAATGGTATTGGACGGCAGTACATGAGCAGGCCTTTGAAGAACTCAAGAGGCTGTTCACAACTGCTCCAATCCTCCTTCATTTTGACCCTAGTAGGAGAACGGTGGTCGAGACAGATGCCAGTGATTTTGCCAAGGGAGCGGTGCTCTCTCAGTATGGGGATGATGGGAAGCTACATCCGGTGGCATTCTATTCTAAGAAGTTCTCCCCTGCTGAGATCAACTATGACATTCACGATAAGGAAATGGGAGCTATTGTAGCCTCTTTCCGGGAATGGGAACACATGCTCAAATCTTGTGAGCAAGAGATCACGGTTTTCACAGACCACAAGAACTTGGAGTACTTTAATTCTACCAAGGTTCTCACTAGGCGGCAAGCTAGATGGTCTGAAGACCTCGCAGGCTACAATTTTAAAGTTGTCTACAGACCGGGAGAAAAGAATGGCAAGACTGATGTGCTATCTAGGCGCTGGGATCACCGCCTTGGAGAGGGAGGTGAAACTCTGCAGCCGGAGCCACAGATCTTTTTTAGGCCAGGTCAATTGGTTTTGGATCCTGCAAAGCTAGCGGCTGTCAGGGTGAATCAATTGCAGAACACATTCTTGGAGCGTCTATATGCGGCCGCTAAAGAGGATAGTTTCTGGCAGGAACTGCACCGCTCCCTGGTTGAAAGGAAACCAAATTTGGATCAGAACTTGTCGGTTAAGAACGGTCTCATCTTCTACAAGAATAGATGGTACATCCCCAAAGACAAGAAGCTTCAGATGGAAATACTGTCCGATACCCATGACTCTAAGGTGGCTGGTCATTTTGGCCAATTTAAGACATTAGAGCGGGTGAAAAACAACTTCTTTTGGCCCAACATGGATAAGGATGTTGAGGAATATGTCCGGAGCTGTGACAGCTGCCAGAGGAATAAGACCTCAAGACACAAGAAGTTTGGTATGCTCCAACCGTTGGAGATACCCTATCGGCCATGGACTTCCATCTCTATGGACTTTATTGTGGGATTACCGGAATCTAGTGGGTTTACAAAGATCTGGGTAATAGTGGACCGCTTTTCGAAAATGGCACACTACATCCCTCTTCCTACCCTCAATAAAACGGAAGATTTGGCTAAGTTGTTCTTAAAGGAAGTTTGGAGACTCCATGGTTTACCTGATGACATAGTCTCGGACAGAGATAGCAGGTTCATCTCTCACTTTTGGCAATCTCTCATGAGTCTCCTCAATGTGAAGCTGAAGATGTCCACATCTTTCCACCCCCAAACGGACGGTCAAACAGAAAGAGTTAATCAGACCCTGGAACATTACTTGCGGAGTTATTGTTCATATCAACAGGATGACTGGGCAGAACTCTTGCCTTTGGCAGAGTATGCTTATAACTCGGCGGTCTCTGAGTCTACCAAAGTATCGGCTTTTTATGCCAACTATGGATATGAACCCAGGACCAACTGGCCGGCCCCAAGGGAAGGAGTAGAATGGAACAATCCAGCAAGCGAGGTTATGATATCTCAATGGGAATCTATCTGGCAGGCTATGAACGCCAGCTTGGGTAAAGCTAGATTAAGGATGGCCCGGTGGTATGATGCTCATGCCCTGGCACCACCTGAAATCAAGCCCGGAGATGAAGTTATGTTGGACCGACGCAATGTGCAAACAAAGCGGCCTTTGGGAAAACTGGATCAGAAGAAGATGGGACCCTTTAAGGTCTTAGAAGCTATTGGTACCCGTGCCTACAAGCTCTCTCTTCCCCCCCAGATGGGAATCCACCCGGTCTTTCATGTCTCTCTCCTAGAACCCTACAGAGCACCGGTAGATCCTGAGAGAAGAGTTCCCCCACCGGAACCCGAAGAGGTTGAGGGAGAACAGAACTGGGTTGTCCGAGAGGTAGCTGATAGCCGGGTCAATAAGAAGAGAAGACGAGTGGAATACCTAGTGCTGTGGGAAGGTTATGAAAACGAGGATGCTACATGGGAACCTTGGGAGCATCTCAAGAAGAGTGCTGAAGAAGCCCTTCGGGATTTCCATATGAGGTATCCTAAGAAACCCAAAGACAAGCGGATTGTTGGGGTGTAGACTATTTTCCTTTCGGGTTTTCATTTTCCTTGCATATCACGAAGTTTCTTGTCATATAGAACGAATGGTAATAGAATGGTTATAGATCTCGGAGACCAAGATCCTGGAAGAGGGGAGTGGTGTAACGGAGCCATTTCAACTGTCTGGTGTATGAGTACACACAGGGCCCGGTTACATGCTGAGAGTTATTGTTAGAAGCCAGTTGCACGGTGATATGCAAGTACCGGCAGTGTGGTTAGCTACCAGCTGTTAGAGTAACTACATTCCGGGCGCTAGGAAGGGGATCTATTCATGGGAGCAATGACTGACGAGTCTATGCCTCGCCAGTGACTAGAAGACCGGCCAGAGTGAAGCTCTGATTGCCCGGTGATCCTCTATATCCTCCGAGCATTGTAAGTCCGCTGAAGGGCAGGGACTATGCTAGGGAAGTCTACAATAAGCGAAAGCTTTACAGCAATGATTAAGCTTACACCTGAGCGGCAGCTCATTCATGCAGGTCCTCGGTTGTGTGGCAACCAAGACTGCAGGTGTTACAAAGGCTTTGACTAAGGGTGGTTGCCTTGGGTATCGGAAACACCTGCTAACGCCTAGAGAAAAGCGGGGTAGCGGTGGTATTGTTTCCGGTACTGAGGGAAGGCCCACCGGAACTTAGTAAAGGAGTTAGGAGCAGAGAACAGAGGCCTTCGGAGTATAAGTACTCAGGTTCATTCCCGCCCTTCAGTCCGAATTCTCTCCAGTCTTCATCAGAAAGAAAAACCAAGTTCTTATCGGTAGCAGAGCCCTTAAAGATTATTGAGTTCTAGCGATAGTATCTTTGAATAATCTGCAACCTGATTGTCTATCTTGCATGGCCGTCTCTATTCTACTTTAGTCTATACCTCTTAGAAAGGACCCCCGTTACAGTTAAGCGTTCTGTTGGAGTCGGCAAGAATCTGTGATATCAGGTAGAGACCATAGTCCAGATGGGCATCTGGCAGCTCAGGGGGGATAATGAGACCTGTGTTTCTTTCCATAGCTCGGGGTAAGTCATCGCAGATATTTGACTTGAATTTATCCCATAATTGCAGAGGTTCAGTCACGTTGCCAAATAGCAAGGCAGTAGTGAAGAGTGTACGGAGGGAATATCCGCTCGAGAATATGCTTGCTTCGGTAAAGCACTGCACCCACTCTTGATCATCGTCCAATAAGCCAAGGGCAATGCATGCAGCCTTGAATGTAGGATACAGCACATTATTGACAGTTTTCAGATAATCAAAAGATTTTGCGCCAGGGATAACGGTTAACAGTAGACGCATATAGTATTTCTCCCCCATCATAGGATTGCAATGCCACATACGTCCAATAGCCACACCTCTCTTCCTGGATGCCCACTTCCGCGATTTAGCGTCATAGGTAAAGTATACCGGGAAATCTTGATAGAGATACCGGGTACCATCCTCGTGCTCTGTATTGTACTCAAAATAAGCTATCAGTGTAGTTCTCGAGTTTTGCATCCTCTGTATCAACTCCTCCCGGTTGGAGTTATCTCCATAGTATACCGGTTGCTCGCCGGGCAAGTGAACAGCCAAGTGAATGACTGACGGGTATTCTTCGTGCATTCCGTATTCGAACAAACGCCATACAGCCTCAGTGGGTCCTATATAACGCCCTTGGAGGTATCTAGTAATTTCATCCGAGTCACTCCCTACTTGAAGTGTTGTTCGATCTGAACCTTTATATATATATTTGTGTATATATTTTATCGCGTGGATAGAACCGCAGATCTCGACATTGATATGAGCTTTATACCGTAAAGAAAGATAAGGATTATATGGAACCACCCATCTGTTGTCCATCTGATACTCTTGATTAAACCCTGAGCCCGTTACTGCCACTGAAAAGGTTCTGCCATCATTACGTCTTCTATACAGTGGATAGCCATCCTCCTGTACAACTGTCTCTGATTGATAGGCGTTAGGGTACCGTTTCGAACATGCAGTTGGTCCCCCATTCTCCTTTGAAGCCATGCAGGGCGATCGCATATTGGCCTCTCCACATGGACCGTGTACCATACAACTTCTAATGATTGCATTTAGTTCCCCCGTAGGATCAGTCGCGGGGTCCGGTAACTCTGCACACACAATTTCGTCGATCCTCTCTGCTGTCAGAAAGCGATCATCCGGATGAAGGAATATCAGTAGATGCATGTGTGGCAGCCCTCTCTTCTGGTACTCAATGGTCCATACAGACCCAAGATAGCGACCAAAGATGTGTTTACGCTTTATTTCTTGGAGGAGTTGTTGTTGCTTGAGATGGAACACCCTTGCAACTAAATCTGGCCTATCAACAGCAGTTTGCCCCGGTAGTAACTCCGCAGTAATCTCTTCTCACTTTGGATTCGCGGTAAAGGTAACAAATAGTGAGGGACGCCCAAAATGACGGACTATAGCCATGGAATCCTGGAACAACTGCAGCATGTATCGGTCGCCTCCTGTATAGCTTCGTGGTAGAATGATACGCTTCCCGGTTTGTTCCGGGTTGAAGTCCTCTTGCCGCATATTATCCGCCAACCCATTATACAGATCAGCCCGAATATTTGCCTGATTCAGTCGAAGCCAATTCAACTTATTCTGATCACAAACAGCCCAAGCATCTATCAAATACTGCTGAAATAGGCGTTGCGAGAGGAACAAAGTCATGGGTTCAGTCGTCCTGGTATGCAGTCGGTACCTGCACACCATGTATAGTAATCAAAAAGTTAGCCATATCAAAAAGTCTTTGAGCCATTGGTGTTTATAACTAACCTGTAAAATTCACGTTGCTGTAACCTTAAATTCTTCCGTCGGTTCAACTCATCACGCAGCCGTAAGCCCCAATGCCAACCCCTCTCACCATTTGGAAATAGCAGAACATAATGTAAGGGCATATAAGCGGCATGATTAGGATCAATTATACTAAACTGCCTATTGGCATCTGGATTTCTATGTGCTAAGACAATGTCCCGGAATCCTGCTTCACCATATTCATCTGGAATAATCGCAGCGACTTCATTGCTTGTAGGCAAATTGTGTCTCCGCTTGTCCGCTCCACTCTCCACTATCAACCGCAATTGCGGATTGAGTAAGACACGTACATCCCCATCTTGTGAGGACGCAGCTTCCAATCTCTCTTTTGCCGTCTTATATAGTGGAATGAATGGATTGACTATTTGTATCTCTTGCGTCAACCGTTCCAAAACCGCAATATCTAGAGTTGGATGTCCATGGTGCCTCAATTGTGCAGCATAGAGTGGGTCATAGAAATATAACTGAGCAAAAGCGGGCGTATCGTTTGCTGCTGCAGTGAGAGGCTCCTGAAGGTGGTATAGCTCCCCATGAATTTGGAAGTATGTAACCCCCCCAGCTTGACGGTCGATGCGTTCATCTGAAGTATATTTAACGGAAGTAAAGGTCAAAGCGGAGTTGTACTCCCTAATACGGCTACGGAACTGTCTAGCAATTGTATCAGTTGATTCGAGGAGGTACCGTAGGTACTCGGGGGCTTGTTCCAATGCCGGCAATTGAACATCGCCTTTCTTGCAACAATTTTCAAACCGCGGTAGCGTAATTGAGCTCCCATGCACGTGCTCGTTAAGCCAATGTAAAGCTTGACATGATGGACAAATCACTGTCATTCTGCCTAACTCCAATGGCGTCCAACGGGTTCGTGCCGACTGGAATGCTAATGGTACTGCAGGTTGAATTGGCGGCTGAAATGGCTGCCATAGTATCTATTAGAATAACCGCCCCGAGTAGTGGTATTAAGAGCTATGCTATAACTCACCTCTTCATTGTTCGAAATTTGTTGCCGTCTGGCTTCGGCCCGACGAAGCCTACTTTGTAGCGCGCGAGCCTTATAATACGTTCTAATCAGTAGAATTCAATTTAAAGTATTCAATTCAAAACTCACCAAGCATGACCGACATGATTTACGGGGCCGGCCATTTCTATCGGAATCATGATCCGTAATATTTTTATTGTGTTTGCACGTTGTGCATTTAACCGTCGACATCTTGTCGAGAGAGCTGGGTGAGAACACTATGGAATGGTATATAATGGAATTTGTTTGGCTAGAGAGGAGATAATTCAATCGAAGATATTGATTGTTAAAGAGTTGATGGTATTTTATTCAGTAGATTTTATTCAGTAGATTTTGTTCAGTAGATTGTATTCAGTAGATTGAATTTTTGGCAAAGAGTCCGGTCCCAAGGAGTTGTGTGTGTTATCACTCAGCTCCCATAGACCCACCGGTGCAAAATAGGGGGGTTCCGGCCACTTGACGCACCGGGGGTTATTTTCAGGGTTGAAAACGGGTTTTTTTTGGTGCATTTCCGCAATTCCGCAACCCACACTCAGAATCCGTACCCCAAGGGTGCAACGGGCGCGACACATCAAATTCAGAGTGCACCCGCTACCTGCAGGCAGGGTAACTGCACCGAATTAGGCAGGGTAACTGCACCGAATTAGGCAGGGTAACTGCATCGAATTAGGCAGGGTAACTGCACCGAATTAGGCAGGGTAACCGCACGAAATTTGATGTGTCGTGCTTACTACACACCCATGTCGCTCTCGACCAATCATATTGCAGAGAGTTCAGAAGAAGTGTATTCCAGTACATATTAGACTAGGGGTGTGCCAACTCGCGACCGCGAGTTGTTGGATTATGAGTATTAATGGGTATTAAATATTGATATTGATTGAGGGGACTCCTTCCATGGATCCAGTGCACCCCCCCCCCCCCCCTTTCCAGTGTACCTTCCCCCCCCCCCCCAATTCCCGCCCCTCCAACTTCCACCATCTCCACCGCCTTCCCGCTGCCCTCAGTCCCCCCCCCAATCCAGCTTCCTCCACCTCCCCCTCCCCTCACCTTCCTCCACCTGCCTCCACCACCCTCTCCGCCTTCTGAGTCCCCCTCCGCCTTACACCCTCCACTCCACCTCTTCCAACTCTTCCACCTCTTCCAACTCTTCCACCTCCTCCAACCCTTCCACCTCCACCGCCTTCCACCTCCTCCACTTCGTCACCTCATCCACATCGTCCACCTCGTCTATCTCGTCCTCCCACTACTCCCAGTCATATTATACATATTATTAAATTGATCGTATTATAATTATACAGACCCCTTTTTAAATGAATATTAGGGCGTGAACCGTAGAGCTTCCGTTGCTAAGCAATGTAATATGTTTTGGTGGGGTGGACCGGTTGCCATGCAGTGACCTCGGACAACATTATTCTAGTTAGTACATAGTAGAAGATGGTGGGGTGGACCGGTTGCCATGCAGGAGTGAGTCAGGGCTAGGGGTTCTCGCTACCGACCAATCAGACTGCAAGAACCTCGGAAAATCATTATTCTAGTACATAGTAGATATATAAAGAACACACCGAATGAGACTGGTAGGCCGCCGAGACTACTTAAGTACAGTTTCTCTTGTCATTAGATTCATCTGAGAAAACGATCCCGGGGTTTGTAAATTTGTTCCTGATAATAAAAACTACTAAGTATGTATGTATGTGGTACATGTATGGCGCCTAGCTGGCATTAACTTTATTTTCACAGTAGGGACAGCCCTCCAAAAAATAAATATAGAAGAATATTAACAATGTCAGTGTGTAGAGCGTCTCTCTCTCTATAAGACTGCATTGAGAGAATCAAATATTTCCGTCATGCTGTGGTAGTTATGCATGGGGGCTACAAAAGTTGGGTTTTGTGTGGGGAAGGTTCGGACTAATACTCTACTTGCGGTGAGAATAAGTTTCCGCTAAATTTGTACGTGAAAATGCGGTTGCAACACAAAAGTGGTGGCGGAAACTTATTCTCGCAGCAAGTAGGTACATATATATGAGGTTTAAAAACCTAAAGTCAGGGTTAGGTGTGACAAAACCAGTGTAAGTCGAATAATTGGTAAAAAATAGTTTTTGCCCTGCTCTTTCTATTTTCTACCCCGTAAAGAAAATTTCTAATTACCATTTTTCCAAGAACGCAATGGCCGGATTTGTTGATACCTTACTTCTTTCTAAGTGGTTCAAGTTTCAACTTGTAGTTGACGCGTTACCTAGAGTACATGTATCTGATGTGACCCTTGGGCCTTGGCATTTACTAACACTTTCGGGAGTAATGACGCCCCTGGGCCGCCGCCGCTTGATGAATGTGGACGTTTCTGCACCAGCCACACATTTGCGTCAGATCCAACGGCTTTTTCTGCTAGCTCGGCATTGTAGTCCTAACGGAGCTAAAGAGAGCTGTCCGCTGTCGTCCTCCAACCTCTTCTTCTTCGTGTCTCAACCATCAACCCTCGCGATTTTGGTATCCACCTCTCTGCCCCCCCATTCATTCTACCCAAACAGCTGTTTATGCTACTACATGTACTCACGTACATATATCTAGTCCGTAGCTTCCTACGTTTTACACCCCGACTCAGTTCGCAACATACACGTGATTTCTCTGCTACTCAACTGCTGTTGCTATTGAAACGAAATACAAAAGTCGATATATAAATAAATATTCTAAAGCTCTCTTTCACATTTACCATAGCTGAACAATGCCGCCACCTCCGCCCCCCAAACGCAGACCTACTGTCCTGGTACTATCGCATATCCCTATACATTATTGTCATGCTGTTCTGGCTTGAGTCTGAATGTACCATCATCTAATCATGCAGTGTTTTAATGTAGGTGACGGATTCTAGAGACCCAGGTGCTCGTGGCCCGCAACGTAGAGCATCAGCAGCTACCTCAATCCCATCAATGGCTCGTTTTATTAGCGTTGATTCTGTTCTTCAGAATTCTTCTGAAATCCCATCAGGCCAGAGTCGCAACCCGCTTGCAAATCTCCAACGTTCCCGTGGCACTGTATCTCCTTCTACACCAAGACCCACAGATCCTCGCCGTTTCCTGGGTCAAAACCTTCCAGTTCGTTCCTCTAAGCTATCGGAAAAACTCGTGCTATTACCAGAAACAGAGGAAGAAGGAGATCGCTGGGATTACGCTGAGGATGATAATGATGATACACCTATTAAAGATGACGAGGAAGAATGGCGGAATAGACTTGCAGAAGAAGACGAATCTTCCGAGCAGCGTCCGAGAAAGAGTTATGCTGAGCGGCTACCAAAGTCCCGGAGGGCAGAAAAGTTGAGTCGTGTGACTGCTTATTGCACAGCAGATTCCAATAGACTTAAGGCGACCTCAAACTTCTTAAGAGAGAAACATTCTGCAAGGACAAAGCTCTATGACGAGTGCTTGTATTGCGCATATCATTTACCGTTGATGCCTGGTAGTGATGGATACAGGGTCCGTTCATCACCAGTGCTCAAAAGCCCAGGGGGAAAAGCAGTGTTAGATGTACAAATTGAGAGGTCGGAGCAGAGGGATTATCGCGAAGGGTATTTTGAAAATGCCTATTCAAGAACTAGGCGACCGAGTGGTGATGGGATGGATGGGGAAGAGGAGGTGGAACATGGGCAATCAAAGTCGCCCGAAAACACACACAACTTCCTCGATCATAGAGACTCTAGGGATGAGGAGACATACAGACCAGAGAGCCCACGAGAATCGCAGATGGATATGAAGTCTTTTGCGGAAATGTTCGTGTTTAGTTATGGAGTTGTGGTATTTTGGAATTTGACAGAGAGGCAGGAGAAGGTAAGCTGGTGTTGCTTTGGGGTATAGTTGTAGTTGACTGATATTGTTGATAGGATATTTTAGCCGATCTTACTTTCGCGGGAAATGATCTCGGTACACCTTTAATAATGGGTCCAATGAAAGAAGAAGATTTTGAAACAGAAGAGTTTCATTTTCAGTACTCGTCTCGCACTAGATCTCCACGCGTATTTGATCCCTCTCCTTGATCTATTTCCATTTATTACCTTAAGACAACCAGAGTCTGAGAAGTTTTCGTTTTCTCACTACAGATATACAACGATATGATCACCCTGAGGTCAGGGGACATAATGATCAAGCTTGCTATCTCGCATGCGATAGCACAATCTACGAAACTTTGTCGATTCGAGGAGAGAATGAACTCAACCATGCTTGGAGTTCAGCATATACCAAAGAAACTCGCACTTACAGGCAACCTTGGTATGAAGAGGGAAGAAGTCGTTAAGATGAGTGGACGACTTTTTAAGCTAAGGGTAGATGTCAATTTATGCATGTATCCCAACTCAAGATTGACTTGCAGTTAACCTTTTCGTACTGACATCAGTCACAATTCGATAGCTAGCAATGTTCTTGACGTGCCCGAATTTTTCTGGGACTCGGAGCCAACACTTCATCCATTGTACGCAGCTGTTCGCGAGTACCTTGAGATAAAACAGCGTATTTTGGTCTTGAACGAAAGATGCAGGGTTTTCCTGGACCTCGCAGATATCCTTTCGGACTCAATTGCGGACAGCAATATGTCACGGATCACCTGGATAATTATCATCCTGATTGTGCTGTCAATATTTGTGACCGTAGCAGAGGTAGCGATTAGATTCGGGATTTTGAAAAAAAAAGGCACAACGGGTGCTGGGACCTTAGCTGAGCTATAAGCGTAAATCGAACGCGGCATTGTGAAGCTGGGATAGGGGAGGTGTAGTCTTAGCGAGATGTTGGAGTGATCCTTCATTATTTATCAAATCATCCCTTATCAAGTGAGTTCTATAGAAAAGACCTTTCTGATGCTACTAATAAGGCCCTTGAGTTTTGTTGTACAGAAGATTCATTAGCGGCTAAGGTCAGTAGTCACCCTGCACTTTCCTTACTGTATCGTAATCTATATATGTATGTATTATGTTTCTTCTTCACTTCAACTTGAGATGTATAATTTGGGAACTGTGATCGACAATATGAAATCACAATGGAATCAGGGATAAAGTGCATGGGAGTATGTTATATGCAAGTTCGGTCCAAGGAAATCACTGGGGGTAGTTGTAACTTGTGGTAGTGGTGGTCCCTGCATGATGCAAGGGCCGGAACGATCGCCGCAGTACTTAGAGTAGAGTACTCTAGATTCTGCATGAGATTTAGTACGGGTGCTTTAAGCTTTTACCCTACGCAGAATAGGGTTATTTTTGGAGCAGAGTAGAAGTGACAACTGCCAGTACTCTATGTAGTGTGCTTGAAAGGTGTATCTACATTTTATATGTACATGTACCTACATGTACGTATGTGCATATAGAGGTACATGTTTCTAGTGTTTCGAACAGTGTTCCAGGCGGTGGTTATCCCAGTTCTTGAGCAAGGGAATTTCATTGATGGTTTATTAACCCAGGATCCTAAGAGATTACAAATGCAATACCTAGCCAAATGTACAAGTATACACGCGTTTATTTGGCCGTACTACTCTACATGCACATAAAAACCACTGAGATAGAATCTCTAGCCGTGGGTTGGTGCCTTGTTCTGATTTGGGTATTTACATACCATCCTTTTGTGGGTTAATTTGGCTCCTTGGCGCTGTTGAAACTCTTGTTTGGGTACATGTATAGAAAGTGATACCCACCAATCTCTCTTAGCTCACTGCTCAGCTACAGTGATACATTACCTCACCCTCATCCCCCTCCGTTTGCTGTTTCTGCTCTCTACCTCGACTTGTCGCTCATTTTTGGCTTATCTTCAATTCAGTAAAGCCTGCTTTCGTAACTCAGCTTTCCAAGGAACCCATCCCAATCCAATCCTAAAATACTTGTCCTAACTATCTACGCAAACAAATTCACAATCATGGCCACTGTCCGCAATCGGCTCCCAACACTATTTGAGGTCCTGAGCCGAAGGACCTTACCGCCAGTTGATTTATTCTCCTTCTACATATATATGCGAGACCAACAGAGATCCGTTGATTACCTTGACTTTTGGTACATCCCCACGCGTTTGACTTACCATATCGCTTGATTGTCGTTTTGAGAGGAGGAGAGGGGAAAACGGCGCCTTTGATGGGAATCTTATATACCAAAACCCGACCCCTAACCATGCTATTCTGTTACAGGCTTGATGTCGCCCAACATATATCGCTTTGCCGTCACTATGTGCGCGAGTTGCGTCGTAGTGTCCTCGTCTCTACCCCCGACCTTGACAAGAATGGTAGTCACCGGTCCTCGCAGATGCTCGATATGCCCGATGACCATGAGTATGAGCTCAAGAATGATGATCAGCGCCTCTCAGCCTTTCTTCGTTCCGAAAACACATCTACCGGGGATCCTACACCACGTCGCTCGATGGGAGATACTCTGGAGACAAGAGAGGCATCTGGTCGCCCTTCTTTCATGTCTTCCTCAGCTCTCGATCCAAATGGGACGGACTCAGAATCCCCTAGGATAGGTGTCTCACGCTCGGATATACGTGCGTCTGCCGAAAAGATTCTATACACCTATCTTCTTGAAGGCTCTGAAAGGGAAATTGTGTTACCCGAGGTCATCACCCGCAGTATTGCAAACGCTATAGAAGTTGACGGTAGAGACGATCCTGAGGTTTTTGACGAGGCAAAGGATTACGTGTTCCAAGCAATGGAGCGAGATGCGTTTCCTCGCTTCCTTGCAGCAAAGGCTCTTGGCAACTTGGTTCCTGGTAGTGGTATGCTGAGATTGATTGTTGGGCTGTTGGCGATGTTTGGTGGTTTTTGGGCGGGTTTTGCTCTAATATTTTTAGACATTCAGCCAAGAGAGACACGACTATGGGTCAGTCACCATTTTCTTTATTCGATATCCCCTAACTGTTACTGTGCTGACATTGCGCAAATCATAAAGCTTATTCTGCCGTTTGCCGTGGGGGTTTATTGTCTTATGGCACAGCAGTACTCGCTAGACCCGATAATGGGGTTAATGGGTATTAGCGAATATACCTTCATGTCTTTCATGAAGGTACGAGAGCCATATGTGAGAAAGTTGTTAAGCAAAAGATCAGTTGGTATCTTACTAATGACTTTCGTGATCGTCACTGCTTTAACTTGTCTTTATGTCTTCGTGCCTGGGCACCGATTATGAAGGCAGATGGGATATCTTTAGTACTTGCTCCATGGAGATTGTAGGGCCTGTCAAGCTCTTCCGGAGATGTGGTAGAGGGGTAATAATTTACTGGTTCGTTCGGGGGTCTTGTTTATACCTTGTCAATTTTTCCGTACCTGCTTTCATGTATTTCTCTCTTGGATTTGATGTTAGATAATGTGTCTCCTAAGCCAAGGGGAATGATAGTTGTGCTTGGTTCAAATCTCAAAATTGGCACGCTAAAGGGCCCTAATATCGCTATATTATACTTGTAAAGCGATGAACAGGAAACTAAAGATTTAGTGCTCGTTTGGCAACACAGTCAACATAGGACCCGTTCGACTGCAACAACCGTGGTTTTGGAGTTCACGGTTTTGTTATTGCGGTTTCCAGGTCGGTTGTCAATTGTTCGAAATTTTTACTAGCAGATTTTTTTTGAAATTGCCAATCCGCGAGTTTGAGACACAAGTTGTTGTTTGTAATGAACGCATGGACAACAGGCTTGGACATGATGAAGACTTCTCCGATCTAGGGTTGGGAATTGTAAAAAATACGATACCGTATTGGAGAGGTTTTGCACGAAGGTCTGACTTTCGTTCGAGGACCCGATTTGATTAGATGGTGGGGGCGAGTTAAGCCAACTTAGAGCGAGTTAAGCCAGGTTATGGTATGAAAGAAATTCCGCTGGACTTTTGGAACTTCCTTCAGTTGATTAATAGTGACGCAACTAGATAGAAAAGTAACAATAGATTCATAAATATTGATCACTTCGCTCCGGACTCTGCCAGTATGTGAGGGAGCGTACCAGACCACGAGAGTACACTATGCAGAGCTCAGAGTTCGGCTAACAGCTACAAAGGTAGAAGTCTCCAAGGCCTCTTCAGTCAACGTTGAGTATGATTCTCCTTGGTCCGAGACGGGCCCCGTGAGCTACGTTATCAACAAAGATTCACTGGAGTTAGCGGATGGTATTCGACCGTCTTCGACGTAGTAGTTCAGGTAGAGTACGAAGTCACGATAGAGTAAAGTATTTCGAATAGTATAGTCAAATAGAGTTGTAACTCGCGTATCAATGATTTATATTGTTAAGACTCTGATTTCGCCGATGATGGTATGGCTAGTCAGTGAATGACACCGTATTTATATCCCTCGCGTATGTCTCGAGGACCCAGTCTACTAATAATACAGAATATACTCGGGGCCTGCCCGAGACCCTGAAAAACAACCAAGAACATTCAACTCCTAAGTCCGTAACCCAAACTCCTAAGCCCGTGTAATGGGGGTCTCTTCTAAGAGAAAATAGAATAAAGTAGAATAGAGACGGCCATGCAAGATAGACAATCAGGTTGCAGATTATTCAAAGATACTATCGCTAGAACTCAATAATCTTTGAGGGCTCTACTACCGATAAGAACTTGGCTTTTCTTTCTGATGATGACTGCAACGGCAACTATGTATTTCGGCTATTGATAAATTGGAATATGAAGAGGAAGTATTGTGTAGCGGGATTAGGATTTGTAATGGGGGTTTCTATTATGTTCTTTTAGTTTCTGTTGCGCCAAGGTATTAGTCATCATTGAATTAGGGTTGGATATATAAGGAGGCGTTGCCTCGTACTTTTATTTATTTTCTTTCTTTCCTTCTTTCCTTACAGAACCTTTGTATTCTACTTCACGAATATTATTCCTGTTCTACGCTACGTCATAGGGTTCAGTTTAGTTGTCAGATCAAACAGAGCCGCTCCATAGTCCATAGTCACAAATATCTTCTACTACGTTCTTGCCTCGGTTGTATTTCTTTGCATCATAGTTCCTTGCCCATAGACCCACGTTATACGTAGGTTGCGTCCTCTATCCCCAACCAATACACCATCATAATTTACCATGTCGGAACACGCCTCTATTGATTATCAACAACTCAACAATAACCTCCAAACCTTTTTCCAAGTGTACTGTAACGGCAACTATGGATTTCGGTTAGGTGATAAATGTAACGGGGGTCTCTTCTAAGAGAAATAGAATGAAGTAGAATAGAGACGGCCGTGCAAGATAGACAATCAGGTTGCAGATTATTCAAAGATACTATCGCTAGAACTCAATAATCTTTAAGGGCTCTGCTACCGATAAGAACTTGGTTTCTTTTCTGATGAAGACTGGAGAGAACAGGACTGAAGGGCGAGAATGAACCTGAGTACTTATACTCCGAAGGCCTCGATTCTCTGCTCCTAACTCCTTACTAAGTTCCGGTGGGCCTTTCCTCAGTACCGGAAACAATACCACCGCTACCCCGCTTTTCTCTAAGCATCAGCAGGTGTTTCCGATCCCCAAGGCAACCACCCTTAGTCAAAGCCTTTGTAACACCTGCAGCCTTGGTTGCCACACAACCGAGGACCTGCATAAGTGAGCTGCCGCTCAGGTGTAAGCTTAATCATTGCTGTAGAGCTTTCACTTATTGTAGACTTCCCTAGCATAGTCCCTGCCGCTCTGGCGGACAAACAATGCTCCGAGGATACAGAGGATCACCGGGCTATCAGAGCTTCACTCTGGCCGGTCTTCTAGTCACTGGCGAGG